CTTTGGCCTCATCATTGAAAGGTGCAGGAACACGGTGTTGGCTGCATAGATCATCAAAGCGCCTCATCGCTTGTTCCTCGCAAACGCTGTTTACTTATTCAAGCTAGAGGTAGCTTGGATCGCAACGTACATATTATGCGTCATTTAGGAAGATTTCAAAGTAAAGTATTTTGAATAAATAGATCGCGTCAAAACCTATTTAATCAAAAGAGCGATGGAAGTACACATAATGATTCGACATCGCTTCGCGTGTCTCCTAACCGACTCATAACTAACCGAAGACCTACGTCGTTGCTTTGAGTTCACAGCAACGAAAACCTTCAAAACGAACCTTATGAACCAGGAGCGAAACTTCAGGGAATTACTAGGGACTTTTTTTTACTTCGAGTTCGATGGGGAACAGCCGGGTGGAGAGGGATGAACCGACTAGGCAAACATCTCATAATTTGGCTCATGTGTTTCATAGACTCTGCAGAAATCCAAATTCCCACGAGCCTGATGATACATAGAGGCGCAGACGTAGAAGAAATCGTGATAGGTTTGATGACGCTGGTTGCTGTCTTGTACCACCGGGCAAATCTGTCACACTAATCTTATCTATCCAACAAGGCTCGTATAATCCATATAACACGAAGTGTTTTGTACGCCCATTGTTTTATTGGGATTTCCTGTTATTGACCTATGAACTTTTTTGACTACCAGCAACAGTGACTAAATAGAATTTGTTAAAATATTTACAGCAGTTTTCTGACAGCGGAATCTCGACTCCTATGATAGTGCTTGCCTATTTAAATCTATTTTAAATCTGATAGATCACGCTTTCCTTGGCTTTTATTTCCATGCCGGATCGTTCGCGAGGCATGTCAGAGCGAGGCTCTAATGCCATTTTTAAAGGTGATAGTATTTCTAGTTTTTCTCTCTAGATTTATATATATCTGGACGTCTTGTATAGGTGTGTGTATATTTGTTTGTTCATTGGTCTGATCTGTAGTTGTTTTGCTATTGACGCCTCTGAAACTTTTACAGTAGATACCGCATTAAAGCAAGCAAAATATTTTCAACGAATGTTAGCCACTTGAGTGCTGCACTCATGTTTTATATGGCAAGACAGCGTTGCAGCAAGAGGTCCACGGCAGTGATAACGGATCCAAGTACTCATTAATAAGCGAGGGCGCAAACTGCACCCACTATCAATATGTCAAGCCATCACTAATAGTGAATAGATCAATGAATAGATTGTCATGCCTGGCTGACGACTTCACGGTCATCCGGTTGTGGCCCACCAAACAGCGACGCATTCGAAGCAGATGCTGGTGCTGGTAGCGTGTGACTGTGTTGGCAGTGGAACTGTTGGCCATTTATGGTAACAATCAAGGAAAAAAAAAGAAAAATGCGGCCGTATACCTACGAGCAGGCTCGCTAACCAGGGAAAGGTAGACCGTTTCAGTCTGCCACAGAATTATAGCCCGTCTGGTCAACTCCGGACATCAGCAAAATTGGCTTATTCTAAAACAGGTCGACCTTCTTGTCGTGGCAGTGTCGTCAGCAAACACAAAGGTAAAGTTAGCTGGCAATAGTGGATTATTAGCAGAAGCAAACAACGGAGCAGTATCGATCGTACACACAGTTGGTTTAACAAAGGCGTCCGGTAACTTCCGCCCTCGGATCACTCCGTCCACGAAACAGCTCCTGCAGAGGATCGGACTGCGACCATCAGTAAAAATCATCATCATTACCGTCGTCGTCGTTGCGGTCTGCTCAAGTGACGATGCGAGGCAATGCGCAACCCGGTACCTGATGATGGTCGAATCATTCGATTTATACTATAGTCACTGCTACAACTGCGAGTAGTAGCGATAGATCATTATTATTATGTAGGTAATGGCCACAATGGAACGAAATGCACTATATTCTGTGCAATCGCGGTAGAAATGACGACGAGAAAAGTCGACGAGCCCAGCCGGCCCTCACAAGTAGCCTGTCTAGAGCGTCAGTCGTTGCTTGCGCGAAGGCAACATAGCGGATCATGAACAGAAACAGAAGTTGTCTTCGTCACTCACTGAAACACACACGTTTTGTTACCCCACCCGAAAATTGACTCGGTGATACACGGAGCCAGCCAGCCAGCCAGCGAGCGAGTGAGAGAGAGCTTCAGAATCAGGAGACGAAGATAAGTCACACAAGCGATGAATACAACTGAAGCTTCGATATTCATGATGATAATATAATGATTGTGATGATGGCTGAAGGTCGAATGCACATGAGCGTGTCCATAGTGGGCTCCGGTTTACGCTGTTGATCACCTATATACTGCGTATGGTGGTTAAGAGTTCTGTAATTAACTGGCTGCCGTTGATCGACAAATGTTGACAGGATCCAGCGACGCCTGCAACGCAATATAATAACAACAGAACAAGAAGCAGCAGAAGTACTGCAAAAAAAGCTAGCGAGGCCGACGGCTCGATAACGAAGGATGCCATACCCGCACAGACATGCTTGTTATAATGACACTCGCCAGTAGTTACATTTAGCTGTTCATAATGGCCCCAATCATATTTAATCAATAATAGAAGACGACAATGAAGAACAATTGCATTGTTTTGGCTACCTAGCGGGAAACGATAGTTGTTTTTTACGATAGTACAGTGTCAATAGGGCCGAGCTTAGCTTAGGCTCGATTTCCAAACATACTGCACCCATATCAAACTATATGGTTTCCTTTTGTTTACTTCTTATGCATCAATATAGTATCACATCGATTTGGCTGTCCTATTTCTCGGTGCTGCATTGCATTCACAAAGTAAATGGTTTTTATCACCGTAGCGTCGGCGACTGTTTCTGATAGCCTGCCTGTTCGTATGGCAATACTGACAATGTTCTTCTGAGCTTTCTTGCAATAGAATAACTGGCTTCAACAGAACTAATTACAAAAAGGCGATTTTTAAGTATTGAAACCTTTTCGTCATGTACGATGGTTGCCTGTTTCGTGGTCAGATGTTTCAAATATAAGAAGAAAGAACTTTATCGATACATAAAGAATCCTATTCTAACGCTATTTTATTGAAAAAGCAAAAATTACATTTTTGCGGCCCGTAGCGGGAAAAGCACCGGACTGATAGCTACCATGCCTACCTGATTTAATTATTCTTTGAGACTTAGTAGTTTTTCCATATTATTTGAACTTTGTTTGACTAACATGTTTGCCACTGTACTGTATCCTACGGATATGCCTATTCAGGACTAATCACGACGAACTTTTAGGCCATTTTTCCCGTTTAATGGAGAGAAATCAGATTTCTGGCTTCACAAAAGAACTTACCCCCAAAACTATCGACTCTAACCCTATATAGGTGCATAGCTTTTATTTTGTTGGCCAAGAACACGATAGCCTTAGGTAACTCTTGCCTATGTTTCAGTTAGACTGACAAGCCCGTTAACGATAGGCGAATAATCCCTGTGTTTTTACGGTACGTAGCGTTGTTGACATAATCGGGAAGACCTTCTAGCAATTACGCTCACTTGAACGTTTACACGATTCGACAACAAAAGTTTATTATATAAGCGAAAGGTCTGCTAGATCTGGGAAACAAGTGAAAACCTTTCGCAGGCTAACCATTGCTGCGGAACTTCTTCGCCACTATAGGCTGCACGAAGCCTCGGCAATTTTAGGCTTGAGATCGAGGCCGGCATTATTATACAGGTAGTGAATAGCAAGAATTTTTCGACCGGTGTACTAATAATAACGTAAGTGTACATTTCCTTTTTGCGATTGAAACCCTTTACTAATTTTCTCTAAATGTCTAGTTATATTTAATTGTATGACCATATTGGTTTGTTTATTAAATGAGAATGTTTCGTCAAGCTTTAAAGGAGTATGCAAGTTTAATAGGCTTCAGTAGACACGGAGGGATTTCACCGCGCCGCGGACAGTAAGCAACGGTTACAAAGATATTGAATATAGGTTTACAAAACATGATATAATCTCTTAATAGATTGACATTCTTATATCCACAGAGAGTGAGCTAAAAATATAAAAACCACTTCATATGTACTTAAACTTAGATCACCTACCGATCCTACCTAAGCGTTTACCGTTCCCTCTGTAAATCTGCTTTCAATATGCTAGCTTGACCACTTGGTTTTGTAACGATTACGGGAGTTTTTGCATGTTAAGGATTTGCTGTTCCCGTACCTTAGACGTACGTAGGCCTCACGTGCGATCTTATATCACATTCATAACATAGAGCAACATTATCAATTACAATGCCTAAAAATCAGTCACATCTACGACATAAGCGTTCGCGTTATAATTGTTTCTAGTTGGCAGTCTCCAGATTTCGGCAGACAAAGGGTCTAGAATCTTTTTATGAATGGTTGCTACTCTTTGTGGTCTCTGCATTTATTTAGTAAGTCATTCTACTATGGATGCATTGTACAAGATTAATTCCAAGTACAAAGCTTAACTGAAGTTAAACTTTGTGTATTGGTTATAGGCTAGATTATTGAAACTATCGACGAATATTGTACTTTTTTTAAGTACAAAATCGGCCATAACAATGGCGTTCCTACGCCTCACGATAGATGATTTGGCTAGCACTATGAGAGCTAGCTCGGGGGTTTAAGATAGACAAGCTAATAATGTCGAATCTCAACAACAGCCTAATAGAAGAATACACGATGCGAAAAGAATACACATTAATATGGCTTAAATACTGTAACTAAGTATATACTGTGTCATCATCTTCTATAGTATCAGTCTCAGTATTTCTTGAATCTTTCAACTGGGGGAAATTTTTATATGGTCAGAGACCCGCTTTTACCTTCCGATGTAATTGAGCTTCCAGTTAGATCGCATGAAAATTTCTGGCGACGTAAATGCGGCAATGACCCACCCACTTAGCTCAATCGGGCCCTAGGCGGTGTCAGTATACGGTCGTGGGAAAGGATTTGAAGGAACCATTAAGGATCGTTGTATAAAAGCTCGTCATCGTAAAGGCGGAATCAGTTTGTCTCGCAGTCAGCTAAATATAACAATTAGTCTACAACATGTTCGCTGTATGTGCCAAACGCTCACCGTATCCACACCCATTTTGTAATATAGGATAGTGTTTAACCCAGTGAGCGTAAAATCACTTTCGTTCTGCTCCAGACCACCCTGTTGAGAGGCTCTGCCATTAAGGCAACTAGCTGTTGATTTCACCTACTGCTATTTATATGTGCCCATCGAGTTTTTTTTTTCGAAATCATAACATGTATTCTATTTTTCTCTATCCTGTTTGTTTCCCTTAATATACCTTTTGTAGAAAATTGCTCTCGTCGGCCTCGCTGTCGCTGGAGCCCGCGCCACTCACCTTGGCTATGGTCACGCTGCCATTGCCGGTCCAGTTTATGGCCATGCTTTAGCTGCTCCTGCATATGGTCACGCTCTCGCTGCCCCCGCGGCCACTTACGGACACGGATACGGCCATGCCGCCCTCGCCGCCCCCGTGGCTAAGGTCGCCCATGCTCCCGTCGTCTCCTCATACTCGACCATAACCAAACACGTAGCTCATGCTCCTGTCGCCAAGGTTGCTGCCGCCCCCGTTTTTGCTGCTCCGGCCCACGGCCATGCCACTTACGGGTATCACGGAGCTGCCCTAGCCGCCCCTATTGCCAAGGTTGCCCATGCTGCGCCTGTCTTGGCTGCCCCCGCTTACAGCTCCTATGGAGCTCATCTTGCCCCCCCTGTGGCTAAAATAGCTCATGCTGCTCCCCTCGTCTACGGCCATGGATACGGACATTATTAAGCAGTTATCTAAAGGCAGACTGTGATACAATTTGTAGATTTGTAAAAAATGAAATAAAAATACTTATTGTCGAACAAACGATGACAAATTTGTTGTTGTTAACAAAATAGTGGTAAGTAGAATATATAGGAGCATGTTTCGTCGGTGGACCGTCCTCAGTAATGGAGTCGTCTTGGCCAGCTTGTTGCAGAGCTAAACATTTGTGCATAGGTGCAATTAAGAGGAAAACTCAATTTATGCTCAAGTTTTCCATAATTTAACTTTATAAAATGATATATGTAAGAACGATATTTTTACGTTGATTTGTGGCTTCCAGACACGGAGATCTTTAATTTACGGAACTTTGGTGGCGTAAGAAGCACCTCTTTAACGGAGCACCTACTGCGCACATAAATAAATTTCTGAATAAAACTAACAATAATAATTAAGCACTCTAGGTAAGACGCCTATCAAAATTATCATCAAAATAGTCGATTCTTTAAAATATTATAAAGCCTTACTCGAAACAGGTCGGGTACTTGTAGAAAAACAACAGCACGATATTGACATGGAGGCAAAAACACGTCGTTGTATTTTTCTAGAAACTTTGAACGCCTTCTCAACACAAAGGGAATAAAGAACATGATCTTCGCCGAAGGTATGGTACAATGCTGTTTTTAGACTATTTAAAGATATTTTTTATTTATGTCTGAGGGATAAAATAACCATAATTTCAATGACCAGCCAACTCCATTTGTGCCGAAGTAGCTGAAATTACATGTTCTAAATTAATAACCCTAAAAAAAATGAAGGGGATGCGGGAGAATTCGTTTCTAACTTTGACAGGTGAGGCACTGAGTCATTCACTCCATTGTAATAGTTGAACACTAAATAAATAGTTTTCAAAATGATGTTCACACAGGAAAAATATGGTTTATTAAATCAAGGTAAAAAAAGAGGACCCCTAATAAAACGACAGAACGGTCGTTTGCCTCTACGGCTATATAACTAACAGCTAAGTATCTGAACTAATATCGCAAGCATCTAGCTGATAGGTTAGAGCTTCTTAAAAAATGTAGATTAAAATTAATTAAACAGAAAAAATGGGAAACTACCAAAAAATGGGTCAATACTGGATTATTTTACTTCTCTATCCAAACGTCAAACAATAAGATTAAATGAATCACATACGTGTTTCGGTAATAATGTTATATATCAATAACGTTACGAAAGCTCTTGTTATTATCAGCTGAAAATACAGGGTAAATATACAAGATGAATATATAGCTAAACATATAGGATGAATAAAAAAAATATTTTTTTTTTAATTTATCTTGAAATCGTTAAGTTTTAGAAGGCTATAATAACATGAAAAACATGTGCTGAAAACATGAGATTTGCTACAGCTGGCACCGATCTTAGAACCTCGAATAGATCCCCTTACAATTTTCATTAAGAAGGAGTATTACCACAGTAGAACTCTCGCCATAACCTTATAATCCTTTTTATATTTGATTATATAGAGAACTATAACTCTTATAGCGCTAAACTTACTTCATTGAAATTGAAAAAAAAAAAGTTGTTTAAAGTTTTTTAAATCGAAAGGAAACGTACGATATTTAAAAAACCTCGAGCATTTAAGACATGGTTAAATATTTCAAAATATGTTAATAACTTTTCGGAAAACAAGCAGAGGTTCTAGTATCACTGAATGGTGAAATAAAAAAACATCTTCACAAAATAAGAATAAGTTAAATAAGGTCGGTAAACATTTTCGATATACATTATTGTTGATTTTTATTAAGTATAACAGGAACTACTGCACGCTATCATAGACTGTGCCTACATGTCGGTAACGAAAATCAGTTAAGGTCTTAATCAAGTTGGAAAAGCTTTAAGTTCTATATAAGAAAAGGTATAAGTCTTATTTGAAATCAAAAGATCTACCGAATTGATTAAGACCCCTTCCTTATAGGCAACGATCAAACTTAGTGTTAAGTTTTAAGAAGGACAACTTAAGAAGAAGGTTATATATATATATATACATACATATATATGTAAATAGAGCAAACTTTATTTCATCAGGAAATGAGGCATGAGTTCGCTCACAATTTACGCCCATATCACCTTTGTCGCTCTCTAAATTGTATCGTTTTCCCGATGAACTAGATAGATAATAGTTATTTCAGAGGTATATGTAGCTAATTATAATTACAAAGACACCGGAAGACACAATAAGGTTTGAAGCTAAATAAAAGTAGGACAACTCCTGAAAGTCCCATGGCGTAGTATACAATTAGTAGATATGTTCGATAAATTACTTCATTATTACAGTTAGTGAATTACTGGTCAATGAAGTAACCCCTCTTGGTCTTCTGAGAAGCAAATGTTTTGGCCTAGTTTGAAAACGTTGCCTACACGATTCTATATTATAGTTTATTTAATTATACTATATATTATATTCTGAGAATAGTTATAGCGTTTATAAAAATACAATCGTATTGATGAAATGTATGAGCTAAGGAAATTTAATTTTAAAATCGGTATGCCTGATTGGTGTCCAATCCGATGCATAACGCTGCTTCGTACTTAAATCATAGCGTATCTCGTGCAGATACACGTCATCCGTACCCAATGAAAACCAACTATCCCACATATGATGGGATAAAGCCCATGCATTTGTCCTGCCCTTTATTTGCTGCCCGTATTTTAAAAGTCAGAATCAATTACTACTACTACTACTACTACTACCTCTCTGTCTATGCACTGAGAAATTTCGAATATGCAGGAGTGATGAAAAACTTGAATCTGCTTTTTGAATCCTCTACAAATAGTGGTGTACCGTCCAAGGAGATACACATCTTTGTGCAGCAATCGATGATGCAGGAACTAATCTCTGATTAAGATTCGGCCGTATATATAGTGATATATTTGAAAATATACATATAAACCGCTCATATGCCAGCGGCCATAGTTCTAAGTTTGCTAGCAGCACAGAAGGGGTTTCGATCTAGCGTGGTACTTCACGCTTTGAGAAACTTATAGCTCGTAACGTATTTTTAAATAGATCACTGCTACGGTTCGTGTAGAGTTTCAGGATTAACCTAATACTAAACATATCACCCATTATAGTGCGATCCGACCACCTCGACTAAAAATGGTTCCAAACTATCGTAGTGTGTCAGTGTCAAGCATTCGAAGAACTTCTTGGTATGAAGCTTATTAAATTTGTCATATCAGAAGATGGCACTTAAATTAGTTCACTACTTGAATAGAATGAATGAAGTAGCACGGACAGGCGTAATACCACCGAATCTATTTTTTGCACTTCGTCTTGTCGGATGACGGTCTCTCCTGCTTTCGCATTGATGCCATCATCCCGTTAGCCGTCCAGTACACATCGTTGGTGATGCGCGCCGAACGATATAATCGTATGTGTTCTGCTGATCGGATTAAGCTGTCACTACGTTTCGTGTATCGATTGCCCGCCCGAATTGACTGTGCCCCTGAACCTTTATCGGGCAACGGTTCATGAGCTTCGAGTTTTCGTTGTATAAAAATCTATCTAACAGCAAATATCAATACCAGTTCGTCTCTTTGACATAAAGCAATACAAGCAAGAATCAAACAGATATGTTCGCTGTATGTAACGCACGGCTCCACACTCAGCATGCAACGTGCATAATTTCTATGCATGAGTCCATTCTATGGTTATACGCGTACGCCATTGCGGGCAGCCTGATCGTGATTCAACGAATGATATGTTCTTATTTCAACTGAACTAGTACGACAAGACTTCAATTGAAACAACATGTCGTACGAGGAAGTGCGAAAGCGGAATACGATTTGGAAAATCAGTGAATCTCGACCGTAATAACTGGCAACGACTAACTTTAAACGGATTAATAACAATTTGCTTTTTTAAGACTAGACGTTTTATTGTGGATTTAGAGAAAACCGCCTCGGGATCTATTGCCGCTCCCCCTTACGCTTTTGGGTATGATTCCGCTGCCACCAGCGCTGCCGCTCACAGTGATACTCCGGCTGCTCCTGCACACGGTCACACTTACGGAGCTCCCATGGCCGCCTACGTACACGGATACGGCCTGGCCACTCTTGCCACGCCTGTGGCTAAGGTCGCGCATGCTCCAGTCGTTTCCTCGTACTCGACCGTAAGCAAGCACGTGGCTCATGCCCCTGTTGCCAAGATCGCTGACAACCCAGTTCTTGCGGCTCCCATCTACGGCCAATCGGCCGCCTACGGACACCAAGAAGCTGCCGTTGCCGCCGCCCCTATTACGAAAGCAGCTGCTGCCCCTGTCCTTGCCGCTCCCGTTTATAGCCATGCCGCTGGCTACGGATATCACGGAGCTACCCTTGCCGCCCCCATTGCCAACGTCCCTACGTCTGTCCTGGCTGCCCCTGTTTACAGAACATATGGAGCTCACTTTGCTGCCCCCGTGGTTAAGGTCGCTCATCAAAGCCACGGACACTACTAAGCCGGTCGTTGAGAAGCTAACTGTAATTTTGTAAACAAATGCAATAAAAACATTTGTGTTAACACAAATCACGCGAGCAATATAGTAGATGGATCTGAAAGAAAAATAGAACAATTTACGCTAGATCATCTAGAGCCATTGACGGATAAAGAACGATGAATAACTGAAAAACTACACGTTACTAATAGACTACCTTTGGTAACGATTTATATCAGGGGCTTCGTTATCTATGCTTCTAAGCTGATCGAATATAATCAAATAATAATAAATTTAGGGGCGACGATATGATTTGTGGCTGAAGATCGATATTTTATTTATCGAAGATGAGGGCGCTAGTGGCATGCATTTACCGAAGGTTGGTAAAAAGATTGATCAATAAAGGAGGCCGTTAATGAAAGAACGGTCTGATGCTAGCGCCATAATTTCAACAACGAAAATCGGGAGCTATAAGGCATTAAAAGAGGTGACTATATCTTAGGGCGTTAAACGGTCAAGTAAGTTTTTATAGTAACGGAAGCTTTAACGAAACCGAATACGGTTGATGCGCTCACTGGCGACTCAGTATGAGGTTCATCAAAACATGTGGTATCACATCTCAATGAAGACACTAGAGACGAAGCTGAAAAACATTAAAAATGAGTTCCTCATGAATTAAAGAATCCTATAGCGAAGCGATTACTAACAAACAACCACACTGTTATTAGATAAGTAACTTAAGTTAGTGTATGCCACCCATTAAGGAAGGATCGGGCTCGAAATGAAGCCGGACAGGTGAGGAAGTTCCGTATGAATTTGACTACTTCCATATGTTGGAACACGCAACAACTGACAACTTTTCATTGAAGCAAGCCATCGATAATGAGATTAAGTATGGTAATGTAAATCACAAGTACGTGGCCATCAAAAAGCTTTTAAACGGCTGGCCTTAATATAATCATTCTACCTATACGGTTTAAAAGATATTCATGCCTTTCATCCGTTAAATAGCTTCGAACCATTTAATAAGACATCTAGTAGATAACCTAACAGAAAACGAAGTAGCAGAAAGGCAAATTTCTCTAGAGCTTATTATTGGCTAGATAATGCTCTCACTTAAAAATGTGCTGCTCGGAATGGTATTTGAACAAACCAGAGATTCTGTTAAGGATAACTGTGAGAACGTGTAGTTCAGTGATACACGAGTTCACGTCTACGAAAAATAACTATTGAAGAACAATCTTCAAACTCAATGAATTTGTCAAAAAGGATATCTTCCGTAGATTCAGTAGCATCTGGCTACGTATACGTCAAAATATACAAATACAATAAAAAGACGTTACCAAATTCAGTTTTAACGTATCATCCATTTAGGTGTATTCGAACGTAAGCAAATAGCAAAACGTACGTCTTAGCTGCCGCAATCTTGACATATAGCTGCTTTCAAAATGGTTTCGTTAGGTTACTAATTCCCACTTTCAGAGGAAGCCATGTTTTTTTTTGGTACTTTTCATTGTGTTCATATAAATTTCAAGAGGCAACCTTGACAGAAAGAATAAACATTCTATCGAAGTTTCCACTCTGTAATACACGTATATCTATTGGCAGTTTTGGAAGACCCATATTCTAGTACTATCGTTGACCGTAACTGTTTTGTACGTTAAACGAACGTAAGCACGTATAATGGTATTTCTTAAGATTCAATCTTCCGTCAATTAACAAATTTAAATATTGTTTTATTGTTCATTACTATACTTATTTTTCTACTCCATCATATTATTCCTTGGAAAAATATGAATAGCCTATTTGGCCTTTTGCCAACCTGACACCCCAGGTCGACACATTGGATTACCGCTAAAAAGCGTTTTCTTTGCTGGGTCAACACTATTTTATTATATAATTAATGGATCATTGAACAAAATTGAACTAGAGAAGAGTTCATCAGAGGATTTTGATAGTGAAACGATAAAGCCATATTAAGAGTAAGGGTGTTTGCAACCATACGCTTGCATACATACGAACTGTGACCACCGTTGAGGGACGTCAGCGTGACGTGAATTCGTAGCGTGAGATGATTTTATCCTCTCTCGAGATCTACTATCAGCTAACGTCGACTTCTGACAAAGGCGATCGAGTTCAGACATTCGAGTCGATAATAGACGTGTGAGAACTTTATATCCGCATGTAAAATGCGTGTGTTACTTCAACACTGGTCGGTCTGCTAGACAAATGCGCAAGATAATGGGTATGGTGGCGCAGACTCAGATTTCAGATCGGACATATGAATCAAGTACATATCTTGGGAAAGGTTGGAGTTCTGCTAGTGCTTAACAAACTTCTCTATGCTTTGACATTTAATGAGATGCCGTATGATAGTATGAATTTGCCGAACGAATATATCTTTCAAAGTTTCCACGACGTTTCGTCTATTAGCTATAACGCCGTCCAGGCTATGCCAGTCTGTGTTGGGTCGCTAGAATCTTCTGTAACTGATAGTCACCCATCCGGTTCAGTAACGTATGACGTCGTCCATTACTTTGGGGCGGCGGTAAGAAGATGGCAGCCCTTGCCAGTGCAAAGTTAAAGTATAAAAGCTGTTCAGCTAACATTCAGAATCACTTGCAACAAATTCTAAAACATTCAACATGTTTGCTGTAAGTACGCTAATCGGTGATAAACTGACAACGGACAATAGACCCATTTGAAAGTTGTGTCCTATAAGTATGATGGCCTCGTTTCATTGTATTTGCTTGTTGTCTCTAATGTGAGTTATCCTTACCATGGGTTGAAACTCCTGTAAATGCATATTTTTTTTTTGCCTGACGTTATAGAAGCTCGCCGTCGTCACCCTCGCCGTAGCTGGAGCTTACGCTGGAGGCATCGCCGCTCCCGCCTATGGCCTTGGATACAGTGGCGCTGCTATCACCGCTCCCGTCTATGGAGTCGGGTACGGCCACGCCGCTGTAGCTGCCCCCGCCTACGGCCTCGGATACGGCCATGCCGCCATTGCTGCCCCTGTGGCCAAGGTCGCCGCTGCCCCTGTCGTGTCTTCGTACTCAACCGTGACCAAGCATGTCGCTCATGCCCCTGTTGCTGTTGCCGCCCCCGTTGCTAAGGTAGCCGCTGCTCCCGTTTTGGCTGCCCCCGCCTACGGATACCATGGAGCTGCCGTCGCCGCCCCAGTTGCTGTCTACGGCAGCGGATACGGGCTTGGCTATGGCAAGGTCTATTAAACGAGCCAATTGCTGTACGGTCAGATAATCATTGCGATAGTCGTGTACAAATAAATGTAAATTTAAAAAGCATATGTTGAACTTTTCACTTATAGAGAATTCACAGTAGTAGTAAGTAAATGAAACGGTAAGCGGAAATACTCCATTTGGTTTTTGTCAAAGGTCGCTGGCATAGTTGAATCCCCTCACTTTATGTCAAACATAGCAATCATCACCGATGGAAATTTCAGCGGGTTTGAAGCTTTTCTTTTTCTGATCCAAGGCGTGAAGTGTCCAGCAATTATGAGTCGTATTATACAAAGATTCTGAGATTTGATTAACGAAAATTGATACGACAAAGCGCAACATAACTTCGCGGTGTCGTTTATCGAAATTTTGTTAATTAATTAAGTGCACAGTTACCAAAGTTTCATACGTGCTAGCCTCATTCGTATAGTATTCTTTAAGCACTTCCTAGAGTGACAGGAAGGATGGCGTCAATTCAAAATGCTGATCCAGGCACTCGAGGCAGATACAATTCATTGTATTCGCTTTTTGTCTGTCCGTAGCAGCATTCAAAACCTCACATTTGAACGTATAGATCGCAGCTAGAACATTTAGATTCTGTAGGTCGAAGGTGACCTTTAGTCTTGTCTAGAACAAGATAGCCCTTTTTAACCTGCTAAGCTGGCCACATAGGGTTATTATGATCATTTTTAAGAATAATTATTTGTACGAATTATATTTTGTGTCCAAAGTTTTACTTGTAGAAGAGTTTTTTTTTTTTTTTACCGCAATAACCGCAATAGGCATCCTTTTTGGACAATTTTTATTCGTTTCAGATGTTAAGCCGTGATACTGAATAAGCGTTCAGAAAAGGTGCGACCTTAGACGCACCTTATTTTCCTTATAAATAATGAACCCTGCTAATTATGTCTGCGTATTTGAGTAACGCGGCAAGACTACATCTGTGTCCCGGGCAGTCGACTCTTTGCAGATTTGATCGTATTGCTTCGACAAGTTGGGAATGAGTACCGTCTAGATTTTGAAGATCGAATCGTCGTAAACGCAAAACGCCCTCGAATACTTATTCCCAAAGCCACTTTGCCATTAGCGCCGGTGATTGAAAGTAGTTTACCTTTGAAACGGGTTAAGGCCTGCACGCTTAGAAACCGCCGAAGTTATATCGAGGGAGGGAAGATTTTTACAAACTCACTTCTTTACGTCCGTACAATCGACGAAGATATCACAATTAAAATTGCGATACGTGAATTTATGTCTAATCTATAAAGTGTGTAGCTCTTTTTGGACTAAATAAATGAGAGAAGCTTCTGTGCGAGGTCTGCCAAGCGTAATATGACATCTTGGTCGTTCAATTGGTGGCTTTCGGAAATGGAACAGAATGTGATTTACTATATTTCGGGATAGGTACAAATCAAGAAGCATATCTTATTAAACCAAATTTATCCATATACGTATGATAAGTATGCGATGAATTAAGCCCTCAAAGATGCATCGACCCGATTTATTATGAATCCAATTTGTAGAACGATTAAAAATTTATAGCTTAGCTTTTGGCTTACCCTACTTTTAGCGGCGATGGTCAGTGACTGGTTAGTTTTGGCATAGCTAAATATTCTGTGTCAGTTTAGTAAGCGTTCAGTGGGAGAGGATATGATGTGCGGCATCCGGCAACAGTAGCGCCCATCCGACCACTGAGAACAAGAGAACCGTATAAATATCCGTCGTAAAAGTTCAAGATTAGTCAACTTGCAGACTACGTCTTCGATTCATCATCATGTTCGGCGTACGTGTGATAAGTTTTTGCATTATCAACCGATATTCAAAAGGTTTTTCTTAAATGGAATGATACGCTTCATTTACTATATGATCGTTTTCTGTGCCAATTCCTTTTGACATTGTTGTTTGCTGGTATACAGACGCTCGCAGTTATCGCCCTCGCTGTGGCTGGAGCCCATGCTGGAGTTGTTGCCGCCCCCGCCTATGGTCTTGGATACGGCCATGCTGCCCCCGCCCTCGGAGTCGGGTATGGCCACGCCGGTATAGTTGCTCCCGCCTACGGAGTTGGATATGGTAGCGCCGCCATTGCTGCCCCCCTAGCTAAGGTCGCCGTTGCCCCTGTCGTTTCTTCGTATTCGACCGTAACCAAACACGTGGCTCCTGCCCCCGTCGCTATTGCCGCTCCGGTTGCCAAGGTCGCCGCTGCTCCCGCTTACGGATACCACGGAGCTGGCATCCCCGCACCTATTGCCGCCTACGGTCATGGATACGGCCATTACTAAACGCATTTAGACCCAACACCTGAATCGAAAGCTCCTGTACCTCCTTGCGGCCATTATTAAGCACTGGTGGACTCGACTAGAGCAAAGTGATCTGTGAGACCATTTTTAGTTTCAGATCTGGCCAAGAAAGAACCTGTGATTTGTATAAATAAATGAAACGAAGCAATAACTTTAGTGGCATGGAAATCGAAAGTTCTAGGTGTACTCCTTATTGGATGTATGAATCGAGTGCAGCATACCGTTAGGTTATTCTGTGTATACAGAGTTAATTTTTGTAAAGCTAAACAAAAAGGGTCTGTCCATTGCTGATATCATGGCAGGCACGAAATGTGACAATAGCACTAACATATGCATGGTTTTTTACACAGGACTAAAGCTCTTAATACCAATACTTCACGACGGCACTGATCGTTCAGGCAGATTCATTTCTGTTATAAAGCAGACGGTAGGTTATTATAAGGGCAAGCGCATGTTTCAATCGACAACTACTATATAATACAGTTTTGTAACTAGAAATCGAGCCGGTAAAAATATCTGTTTATAGTCACCAACCAAATTATCTACTCAGCGTTACCGTAATGAAAATTATAGGACCGCTGGTCACTCAAACAGCAATTCAGCTATGATAAATTACGCCAATCTTGGAAGTTTGCAGTGAAAAAATCGGCTACTTTGAAATTTGGCGGTGCAGGATGAAAGGTTTGTATTGTTGCCAGCTATAAAAATTTCAACAAGTACCTTAACAAAGCATAAATCACTAGCAGTGCACGAGCTTCATGCCATATGCTGTTTCGTGAAGAACTATCGTAGCTCAGTTAGCATGTATCAGAATTATAAGCAAATTTAGGAAACCAAAGAATGGCCGAAGTTCAGGCACTTTTATACTAAAAATAAACCAATCGACTATTTGAAAAAAGTCGTATGACTCTGGATGACAAATGAGCGGCTAATACTTTTGCTCAATGTTTAGGGGTCATCACATCCTGTTAAAGGATTACTAAAATTTGCACCTAAACAGACACTTCTTTTACATTGTAAAAGCTCTTTTACCTCTGAATTTCGTCAAACAAGTACCCTTACCGATTTCAATGTTTTATAGTAGATTTTCAGTATATAGTGATTGTTTATTCAAAAGATGTTATATCAGAATGTTTTCATTTTTAATAAATCTTTGTCTACTTAAGTATTCAAAGTATCTAAAACAGCCTGGACGATCGATTACTTTTGTAATTCGTTATATCTTAAACGCGAAGTTTCGTCACAAGTTAATTTCAACTGGTTCTATGAAGCCCCAAAGTTCACTTCAAAGACCCAAGAACAACGATACTATTTCAAAGTTATCCACGTATAATAACGTCAAAAGTCGCACCGTTCCAATGGATAATTCTAACTACCTAAAGCATAATATAGCAATCTAGCATAGCAATGTACATTTTTTAGAAGTGCTTGCTTTTTTTTACGTATATAATCCTCAGCATTATAGGTTCTCTAGATAAGGGCCGCTTTGATACATTTCTTTCTACTTCTTTATACCATTCGTTGTAGCTGTTCTGGACGTTATGGCTAGATGCCCCGAGTTTACCCTGGTCAGCTTCCAGAAGTCGTTCATCTCGATCGCTAATTTAACAGGAAAACTTACCGGGTCTCGACACTAGAAAAATCGACAGATTAAGAGTTCTTTTTTGATATTGCGGATAGTCGTGCATGGCTGCTCTCCGTTGGTGGCGTGACTCGTCTGGTTAATTCCAACAACGAACCAGACTCTAGCTTACGAGGTAACACACGAAATTTTCACGGGATCTTATGTTTATGTATGTTATATTGCCTCACAGCTTCGGATACTAGCTTACATACCTTAAGCGTCATTCCTGAGACGATGACCCTACATTGCTTACAAGGACTGTCTATCTCCAAGCTTCGCCTGATTAAATCTAGCAACTTGCCTCATATAAGTTCAGCTTGTATAAGACTCTGAGTGACCAATCGGAAATTTTTGTTATAACTCTGAAGTCAAATGGGGAAGCTCTTTCCTATTATCTTGACACCATATCTGAAATAAGGTTTAGTCCACATCAATTCACAAATTGTTCTCACAACGATACCGCTACAGCAGGTACATCTATTTATCGCGTTGTCGCTGTAATATTTTCTTACTGTAAACTTTGTATTGCTATTTGCAAAAGCGTGTAAAAATTAAAAAAAGGTAGGGTAATCTAATAAATTTACAAATTTTCATTCTGTTTTATTTGTTATAAGGGTAAAGGAAGGTGTTCATCAGATATTGACTGCTGTGCTATGTCTATTTAGCATTAATCCTCTGCAATCTGCATGGTATCGTGGTTCCACCTCGTGATTTGATCTATAGACGCCTATATTCCCATTAAAAAAGAGTAGTCCATGAAACCTCATAGGCGCGCTGAACCCCCGGCAGATTTTTAATTAACTTAACTTATTAAGTACAATGAGCATCGCAATTAGTAGCCAATAAAGGACTACATCAATATGCAGCTTGTGCTGACTCTGGGAAACCCAACGGCACAGTAACTTTTTGATTGTCCTCATTGCTACCAGGACCTGGGTGGCGCTTAATGTATATATCTAAGTAGACTTAAGTTGGTCACTACATTTCGCAACCGGAGTAATCGTATGTAGACATAACATATAACCTACAATTGCATTGAACTGAACTTAGTAATAAAAGCTCACATCACATACTCGAAAAGTGCAATAAGAAGAGTGAAGATTATAATCTAGGTTTGTTATCAGTAGAGAAGCTGAAATTGTCTTACCCCCAACTCACTTCCCTACCTCCATGGGTTGCCATAAATTATACGCTAATAAGTTTCACTGCCGTCTCGTATTGCTTCAGGAGACTAGACCCGAGTGCAAAACGAGGTACGTTGACGCTCGTTGTCTATTTTGAACGAATTAACTTGTTTTTAAGTCTAGTAAATCATCATGTTACCACTGAACCGTGACAGAAACAGCCCTGGTTGTTCTGCTCATGCCAGTAGTTCGACGAGTGAATCAATATATTACTCATCATTTAGCTAACGTTACCTATAGGTTTCAACGTTTACAAATTCTGTCTTTTATCTTACTGAATAACGAAAACTATATTTTTTATGCAGAAAGAGACCATATTATTCAGTCTGGTTTGCAGATGATGAGCTTAACAGATAGGCGTGTTCGTGCAAACGATTATCGGATCGAGAATGCGCCGTCTGCACAAATGAATTCTTTTTTTTTTTTTTTTTTTTTTTGATCAATAAACGCGGCAGTCATCAATAGCTTTTCTTGCAGGAAGATAGAATCGGGTATATACATTTTCTGTAAATAGCGATGAAATCTAGCATTTTGGATTCGATTCGGCTACCCAGCGCGTATGATATTATGCCATGCATAGCTAACCAGAAGAATAGCCTCATTGATAGGTACCATCCTCACCAGCGACGATCTTCTATAAAACTTCGACGCTGGATACCGAAAAGTTCAGTATTAGTTGTCTACCATCAGCTACAATCGACAATCCAATCAAGATGTTTGCAGTATGTATCTTTTCTGTTGACTTTCTCAAGCTTCATTAGTAAATCATAGACTCCGAATGTTATACACTATTGCTCGCAGATAAGAAACAGTAAATCATACATAACGCAATCATTATTTAGTGAAGATATTATTACTAATACAGAAATTCGCTGTTGTTACTCTTGCCGTGGTTGGAGTACATATTGCCGCCTCCGCCTATAATCTCGGACGCGGTGGCGTTGCCCCCGACGCTAATGTCGCTACGATTCCTGTAATGTCTACATACTTGACCGTGGCCAAGCATGTGAATCATGCCCCAGCCACCACTGCCGCCCCCGTTGCTAATTCTATCCTGGTTGCTTCCTCCTGCGGAAAACACGGAGCTGCCATCGTCGTCCCTGTTGCTGGCTAGCGCCATGGATACCGGCGTTTCTAAGCGGTTCACGTCTTGATAGCGGAACTGTGATCTACGTAATTGAATGTGTGCTTATAAAGCTCTACAGGTCTTGTAGACCTGAATTAACGTTGATTCAGAGGCGTACTAATTGAGTGCAAGAGGATAACGCAAGTGGATATTCTATGAACGGGTACAGCAGAATTGGAGTGCGCGAAGGCAGAAACTTGAGGATTTTTACAGCCGAAGAACAGGAAATATGCTGCGACTTCTCTGTTGTGGAATACGTATCTCCAGGATGTAGTAAACTAATTACTTGTAGTTATATCAGTGCTCGGCTTGGTTTAAAGTGAAGTATAATATTGGGTATTGAGTATTGAGAATTTGTGGGTGGGGCTAAGCTCCACGTGCGGCCCAAATGAAGTGGTACCTCTTGTACGTAAAGAGTTACCCAAACTCTTTTAAAAATACTATCCAAAGTACTAAAATCTATCTAAAATTTGTTGAATACCGAGCAAACGATAGTTCCTAAATTGATGATCGATTCAATGACCAGTAAAATCTCTTTATTTGTGACCCTTCTTTCGTCTGCGTCCACAAATGCTTGTCATAGCGCTTCCCAATTTGTAGCTGTACAAACTGTGGTTACAAACTTACTGTCTCCTTTACACGATGTCTATAATAAATTAGAGCAATACTAATAGAACGACTTGTAGACTTGGAAAATATTTGCCGCCCTATCAGATCGAAGGGTGTTACTTGAGCTTGGACATAACTTCGGCGCCATTAAAATGGTATTTCAACCAAACCAAGTGAGTATCTAGGACAACCAGAGTTCATCGATGAATTGGGTTAACGGATCACAGTGCGCGTGCTTACCTAAACATCTTGTTAGTAAGTTATACTGAACAGATGCGACGGCCTTAATTCCTGCTCCTTAATATCAATTAATCGTGCACCAAATTTACGTTGAACGTAATTCTTGATCGATCGTAGTATCGTGCAAAGGCTCTTCACACGTTACCACAAACATTCTTCGCTTAGGGTAATTTCTATGCATCCACTTGGGACGCCTAGCCGAATGGATCCTGTTTGTCGTAGCTCAAACGTTTGAATAGGGTAACTAACTTCCATTATATTGACATAACTTAAAAGCAACATTACACGTTTGTACTGGAAGAACCCTCCTGTTGCTAAAGTAAGTCACGCAGAAATGTGGAAGTGCAGGGAAAGTACAAGCGCGAACCTGACACTTGCAAATAAAGATTGACAATTTTCAAATTCAGGGACAACGCCACCAAAAATACGGGTTTTTAAGACAATATGGATTTAACACTAACTGAAAACCTGAAAGAAGATTAGTGATTCATTAAAACTTTAACGAAGTTTTGTCTTTTATATACGAAGCGATACATCGATATCTTCTCGATCTAACATAAAGGGTGACTAAACCATTTGTTAAACACCAGAGGCAATAACCGCGATGATTTGTATGTGCTTTTATTAGAAAAGAAAGGATTTACGATGCCACATCCGAGTCGTTACCTTTGCCTAGCTGTTCTACTGGACTCGAAGTGCTGATCATCAAACTTCATTAGATATATTCTGGGCGTCTCCTAGCATTTTGTTCTGTTATGTGCTTTTGAAACGTGGAAAATCTTAGTAGTTCACTTAGTTTTCTATACTCGTATGACATAACGATGTTATTCTTTCAGTATCCATTACGTTTTTGACCGTAGCAAGTTTTCTCAATTTTTCATTACTGTATACCGTAACCGTTATAGTCAAATTTAAATTTCATGCCTTCATACCCCTCAGATACTATAATTTCTGCTAATTTTGTTTTTGTGTAAGCAAAGCTCATTCCCAAATGTGACAGCTATGTTATAATGGTCTAATTAATATGGAAACAACTAACCAAATGGGCCGACAAATAGCAGGATCAATCATATTTCCAGAACACCCCAGCTACAGATTCAGTGCCGCTCGACTGAAATCGAGGTATTCAATATTTCCGACACCCTACACATTGTCTAATCGCACTGATTTGGGCGTTTCTTATCCCTGGAAGATGGGGTGCTCAACGCCCCACGGACGACGTTCATTTAGGTCAACGTGTTCAATGTAAGAGCTACTTAGAATGATCACGTTGAGACGAAAAGTAAATTTTACTACTCAATGTTGGTTTTCATTGCCCTCGCGCCGCGGCTGGAGCCTGCGCTGAAATTATCGCTGCTCCTTAACGCGGTGGCACGAAAACTGTTGCTTTGCCTACAGGGTCGTATACGGCCATGCCGGTGTAGCTGCATCGATTGACGGAACGAGATGTGGCCACGCTTCATGCACGTGGCTTGTGCTCGTGCGGCTGTTGTTAAGGTCCTCGTCAACAGACATGACGGAATTGCTATAGCCAGCCTCGTTGCTGCTTACGGTCATACATACGGCCATTACTAAGCACAGGTCGAGTTGAACCAAAAAATATACCTCGTATTTGTACAAAATTTATTTAAATTAACAATATCTTATTATAGGAGCAATATTCTTTTGGACTACTTTCTAGTTATTCGAATGATTGCAATATACCAGACAAAATGGCATGCTATCCCTTGTTGGTGATTTAATTCATTTGATTTGTTGACATCGCAAGCAGGGTACCATGAACCATGGTTGGCGTAGACATCAATAGTCACCTGTTGACATGTCTGCAGTTGTCTCGTACATACGTTAAAGCAATCCTATTGCCTTTCTGCAGCTATCTAATCAGCGCGTTGATAAGCACGCGCAACATTGATAAATCCGATTTATATTACACCTAATATATATATATATATATCCTCTTGCATCTATCTGATTAGAACAATTCTATTTTCTGAGAATCCTTCGACCGCTTTGTCTCGGTGACTCGTTTGCCTAATGCAGTCTCCCGATTACCGAGGGATTGACTGCATCTGATTCAATTTGTAAGGTCATTTAAATCAATCCTCTATATTAATCACGTCACGATGGTCACACTTTTTTCCCTACGGAACTACAAGATATTGATTTCGTTATCTGCGCCAGCTAGCGTACTTTTCTGCCATAATTATCACGCCTTGAGATTTCTTTTCGATCGATCAACGACTGGAAAATTATCTAATCAGGACTCTAACTCAGGCACTATCGTTCTGTTGCCTTTTCAATAGGTCAGCCCACCCCGTTCGTTCCCCTGTGAAAATGTCTCGTTAATCCGATACACTGTCCCATCTCGCTTTCGCAATGCAATTTACTTTTTCGTTAAAAAAAAAAATGGGAGATACGGTTTCGTAAATATTTCATAGAGTTCTATGTATAAGTAAGTTCTATTATAAAGATTTAACGAATATCTATTAATTGTTCTATCTAATCTATTACTGGCAAATGGTTAAGCTTATGCTCGAAATCATCAAAAATCTACCTCGGAGAAAAATATACAAAACATCATCAAAATCAAGCAGTCAGCTGAAGTCTAGCGGCAATTTAAACTATTATCTGGTAAAAGATCAGTAAATAGAACTTTAACGAACTTTAGATAGCGACCATTATATCTTTGTACATCGATGTAAGTAAGTTCGGAGAGGTAAATTAGGTCTCTGTCTAAAAAGGACAAAGGTGATTTGCGTTTAGCTAAACTAGAAAGGTTCTATAAGCTGAGGACTACCTGAAAAAAAACCCATGTGGCCCAATGGCAGTGCGATGACGAAGCTATCCAAGAAAAAGGGCAATGAAGCTATCATTTTTCACGTCAGTAGTAGAAACATAGGGGCATTAAATCGGCCACGTTAAAGCTACCCTGCAAGAGCTTGATTAGAAGGTTTTTCTGCACCCACTGTATGTTTGTGGTTTTCGCCGATAGATGATCACCTTCTTCTGTGATCACTGGCAATACATTGACAATGTAAAGGGACTTGACAACTGGGTCTGTTCAACACAAGACATGGAACATAGTAAGTCGATAAATAAATCTGTTAAGAAATGGAAAAAAATAACGGCAAATACGCATTGAATAGATTAATAATAATAATAATAGAATTCGAGTGAAATGCTATGTAAAATATTTCTGCAAAAAAAAAAAAAAAAAAAAAACGCTATTACTCTTTGTCCTATACATAATTCTTGATTTTTTTTCTGCTACCGGCCAAGCGGTTGTTTTTTTCGGCCATCTTTAGCATTGTGCCAGATTTTTAAAACTATATCATATTTTGAAAACTTCCTGTAAGCACTATTTCTTGAAATCAGAGCAACTATCAAATGCATAGTGTCATCGAAAAGAAAAGAAAAAAATACGTGAAAACTGAAAACAACAGACAACGCGCCGCTGTCAGAGTAAAAATGTTTACAACGCTGTTCAGATCCTAATCAAACGAGGTATGAGCGTCATAAGACTACACAACAGTTTAGCGGTATCGGTGAGAGATAGCGTTTTGGGCCATACCTTTTTCAAAAGGTACTCACGCTCACAGAAATTCTACGTAGCTTTAAAATGTATTACAATTGTAGCAGATAAAAATGAAAAAAATTTAAAAAAAAAAATCAAAAATACATTGTTACGCCGAGGGCCGATATATGATAACGATAAATAATTGTTCGTTTATCGAAGAAACGATATTCGAGGCTTTCCAATGAGATGTTGTGACTAGCATAAATCGGCTTTTATTTAAATAAAACAATTTTTTTCTGTATCATTACAATAAAATAATACATTTTGTGTGATATTTTTTTTGGGCATCACAAAGGGTCTATTGAAGTACATTAGTAACGTATTTGCTGTTTACCTGGTTCTTGAAAAGGTTGGAGTTTGTGTGCTTTTCTATTATTTAATCAGCGCACACGATGTCATATGGTGACCGTATTTAGACTGATAGTGTGATTTTTGAAATGTATTCAAGTTAATTGCTTATGGTAAAACGACCAGCAGGTGTATTTTGGTGTACAACAGCACTAATTTATGCGAAAAAAATGATTCGCTTTCTAAAAATAGGAAAATTAGGTAAAGACGGAGAAAAGCTTTCGAGGACGCCAGACTCTAGATTTCTATAGATTTCATCACAGAATGATTATATATTTTTAAAGGCGTTTTAAAGCAAGCTAATCACTAGATATGGAATTATACACGTCATGCTGGACGAAAAGGCTGAACGCCGAATGAAAACGTACATACGACGTTGTTAAACCAGGTATTACATATATCAAGTACATCATACACACACAAATTTCAATATAGGGAAAGCCTCTTGTAAAATTTCTCAAGGCCGACTCTGCACTCAGCCTGACGCGATATAAACGAAATTCAAAATTATGATTCGTCATCAACATAGGACATTTAGCGTCAGACGCCTCTGTTTAGCTATCGCCAACGGCCAGTGTTGTTTTTTATGCGTTGCGGTTCGGAAACCGATCCATTTCCGGTGATTCATCATGATGGTTGTGCTTCTGGCGTTTGTGTATCGCACTCACATGGCAACTTTCCGTATTTCGATAAGCATCCGTTCATCTCTGCTTGTTGAAGGGGCACATCAGTTACGAGGGTGGAAGGCTCCTCAGAAAAAATGTATGATAGGTAATATCCGTCTGGAGGACATCGATTTGGTACCTGCACAGGACAAGTTATAAGGTGACATCTATCGCATTGGCTGTACGTAAATCAATACGTTGAATACTAACGACACTTTACTTTGTGCAAATACAATTCAAAGTTATCATTAATATCGTGCTTCACTGATACTTTTCAGAACTGCCCTGTTATTATGTGCTTTCGAAGTGGCTGCCAATGCCGAAACTATTGTTGCTTCCGTTTATGGCCTCAGATACGGCCACGCCACTGAAAATGGCGCGGCTAAAGTCCTGAATAAGCTCGTGCATGCTCTGCTTATTTCTTCGACGATCACCGCGCACGGCGCCTATACGTTTGTCGCTAAAGTTGCTTACGCCACCTTTGACTTACTTATGGATACCATTGGGTTTATCTAGGGCTGTTGCTATTTACAAAAACGTGTACGATCACAGCTAGCCAGACGGACTTGGCTACGGCAAAGCGATTTAGTCAAGGAAGAAAGACTGTCGATGTTTGTAATTTGTATATAGATGAAGAATTTGTAAAGGTGAAATACACGTGAAGGCGCTGGTTGTGTGGATCATGAATACCCGTATTTGATAAATTCCACCCTGTACATCAATACGGTGACCTGAAGGACCGCTAATTCTGTTTTGAAGATATTCGAATATATGTATATATCTATAATACTTATATATATATATATATATATATATATCCGGAGCTACAAAGGTAAGGCGTTCAAAGTCCTCCAAAAACTTATAATTTGTGCAATACGAATCATAATAGAAAATGTGAATTTCTGGCTTGAAAACTAAAAAAGAAAAACAAAAAACTGCTCACGTCAATGTGAGATGTCAAAAAACTTGGCTAGATACTGCAGGAACAACGAGGCTTGAGGCAAGATGTCTATCAACTTTTTTTCGAAAAGAGCTCGAGCTCAGATACAACTTTTTCTGTAAAAGCATTGAAATTCTTGCTGGACCTGGTGTGCTTATCCTGAAGCACGGAACCAACTGTGATCGACACGGATTTTATTAGAGCATTATTATTATATTATTTTATTAAGCACTATTGAATCTAATTTCAAAAATGTTATTAGTTAGTATTAATACTACATAATGTATAATAAAAATGTAAATCATCGTAAGACAAATCCTATGGACAGCTTTTGATCCAGATCCATCTACAGACTGCAATTTTTTTAATAAATGTCAATAGGCATTTGTCGATCTTGCAGAACGTATTGGACTATGCACTCATTCTATGGAGACATTCACTAGATTGACAGCATTGTGCAGCACACAGCTGTTTAATTTTGTCTTGTAATAAAGATACTACAAATAAATAGAAATACGTCGACTTCATACATAATATAGCAAGTATGAACATAGCTTCAAACGTCTGGGTCATCGGTGCGACAATAGCGTCAACTCTGAAATCTGATTCAGCTTTAAAAAAAACCGGGTAGAAATTTAAGCTCGCTTATGATTTCGGTCAGGATTTCGCAGAGGCATAATTTTTCGGCAGATAAATAGCTACATATGATCCGTCAAATACGATCTTACGCCATATGTAACGAAGGAACATGATCGAAAAAGAGAAACCATCTTATATATAAATATATATGACAGACTAACCTCTTCAAAGAAACTATGCCCAAGGCAAAGTGCAGCTTTTGGTGTTCGAGATAACTAATTTTGGCGTTGATTACCCCCGTAAAGTACGACAGGACGGAATGCGATACGAGATATAGCAAAAGCTTAATGCCATAAACGGAAGCTAGCTTATTGATAAGTCGAATCTCGGTCGTAATTTGACTAGATTTTTTTATGTTTGTATTTTGTAGATTTACTGACGCATCGATAATTCAGATCATTGCTGTCCTCGCACAACTGAGCGCCGGGTTTGACGGGAGAGGCCGAAAAATCGTCAGAGCTACCATCGTCTTATAAAAGCACTCCGTGTCAACTGGAAAAGCACAGTTCACGTTCTGACCCCACAAGGAGTTTTCGACATGTTTGTCGCATGTGTACTGTTGCAGCTATGTATAAGCGCGAAAAAAGGAATAGATCCGCTAGATCTTCGGCTGCGATTTGTTAGTGCTTGAATAGGCCACATCTCTCCTTAGTAGCTGAAGCAGCAGAGAAGGTCTTGCTCCGAAAAAACGAGAACCTTACCTCCCCTTGTTACTTCGTCGTTCTCCTACTAAGCGCACACACAAACGCACTAGTGAGCAGTGTTCGGGAAATTGCAGCATGCCTTCACGATTATTTGTAAGAAAGATAATGGTGACTAAACGTACGGCATCAATAGTTTGCGTTCTTATTGGCTCGCGAATTTCGTATGGTCGCCTTTGTCATTACTACTAGCTTGGCCAGGGCGCGAAGTGGGGCCGTTGCTGGCTACGGTCTGGGCGCCCCCGTTTATAGTCGCCTACTACTATCGATGACCCTTTACGCATCGCTGCTATTGCTGCTTCTGTCGTCATACTCCACCATGACGAAGCATGTGGCAACTGCCCCCGCTGTTGTTGCCTCCGTCGCTATAGTCGCTCACGCGGTTTCCGTTCTGATCGCCTCCGGCTGCGGCGCAACTAACGCTACCCCCGCCGCTTATGGCATTTATTATAAAGCTCCGGTCCTCACCTCCGCCCCGGCTATCGCTGGCGGTTATAGATACAGATCGGATATCGCTGCAACATTTGCCGTCCCGGTTGCCACAGTTGCTCATGTTGCCCTCGTTGCTTACGCCGCCCCCGTTAATTAAGAGAGCCCACGCTGCATCTGTCGTTAAAGCATATACCGCCCCTGTTGTCGCTTATGGTCATCGATATGCACCTGTCCGGTAGCCGGCGAGCCGTTTTGTAATCTAAACGTACCACATATTATGGACATGAGGAGGGACGTAACAAAATGGAACTCGTTGGACCTATAGGTAGCCGAAATCGATGGGTAGGTTCCTGATTCATCAATGCAGAGCCTAAGGGACTACCGAAAAGGATTACCTCGTGGATGTCAAGTTCAACTAAACAAATGTCATTTCATTAAAATACAAATGTCTATCAATAGACATAACCTCACGCAAGGCCACACTAAACACGCCAATAGCCCTGTGGTCGAATCAAGAGTGACGTGGCAGTAGAGGGCTGCCGTGCAATACTCTAATCAAAATTCAGAAGGAAGAACGAAGACGACTACTTGTAAACGTTTTTAATTTTATTATCAACAGCCATCGCATCGTTACCGACTGAAGACTCAGTCAATGCTTAGTTAAATGTCCATAAATTACGTTCGATAAAATTGCGCAAAACGTGAATCACTGCACATGTCTGTAATGTTAGAACCTTGCAACAGTGATTCCGTTCAACAGTGAAGAAGCTGGACGACGTCAAAGGGGATTAAAAGATTTTTGTTTCCAGCAGAACATTATGCCTAGTTTCCACGATAATGAAGTTATCTAAGAAACGTCGTCAAGACGAGTTTTTATCAATGTACATATCACGTACCTATGAAGTCTGAACGACATTTTTATGTACGCCATAATTAGAAAATGTATGCTAAATAACAACGGCCCGGTCGGAATTGCCTCTTCCGTGACGTTCAATGTTATCGTTTGTTGTTAATAGTCGCAAAAGTGGACCAACCCCAGGCAAAGAAAGAGTACCCATTATACACTTACCTACAGAGCTATTATAAGTTCACGCTTATATGTTCCAGTGTGTGGGTTTGTATCTTGGCTAGCGTAGGGCCCAATAGAACAATAGGCGACAATAGTCCGTACGTCGACGCCAACTAAATCATTATAGGGACAAAATCATGTTTCCGTCTTCGCCACATGACCATCCTTTTTTCAAAAAAGACCGCCATTTAAATTGCGAGTAGAATCGAGTTTAGCGTCAGAGCAATTTTTGGCGGTATCATTCAGGTTTTTATCGCGGTGCGGCGACGATTCAGTCACGTTGCTGCTGTTATTACCAGTGTCGCTGTTATCAGCTATTGAACTTTGACGAATGAGTTCTACTCTAAACAATCGACCGATATCAGCAGCCATCTGTTTTTCGATGCTCATCCCGCCATAGCCTTCGTTCAAGCACGGTATAGTTGATTCCGTAATCTGGAGTGATATCCAGAAACGAGTATATCCTTTAATGGAAATTTCACACTGTACGGCTATCGCGTTCTCTTCACTGTGAGCAGGGTCGAAGCTCACTGCTTGTAATGCTCCACGGATAAGCCCGCAGCAATATCGAGAACAGAGACCAACATCACCTTTGACAGCGCCCGCCGCCCGAACTAGCTTGCTTCCCCAACGGAACTCCGAATCGTCAATGCAGAAACTATCATACGTTTGGTCACTTCGTTTAGCACGCTTGAGATGCTCGGCTTGCTTTCCGAAAACGGCTTTCCAAAAGGTTCTCTGAATGAATTTAGCTAACTCCTGATTATTAGGGGCCAGCTGTAGACCTATTGGTAAGAGATCAACTATGCATCGACCTGCCCTCAAGCCGATATCCTCTAACGTCCTAGCCGATTGACGTTTGGCGAGTTCCGCTAACATTACGTCTAGTAACACAAAAGCAGGGTCGGTTACGCAGACACGCTCTGCAGACTTCGATTTCGATACAACACTTGGCCTTCGAGATTCATAGGCCGGCGGGCTAGGTGGCGCACTAACATCCTTGGAAGAACTGTTTTTCAGAGTTTGACGAAACTGAGCGCCAATACGTTCTTTGAAGTCCTCAAATGACCGTAGCGAGCTAGAGCTAAAGATGCTCATGATTTCCTCTGTGCTGTACAAGACCGAAACTCGCAATTCGTGTAAATGGGTAACAAAGTAAATACTAATTGATTGGTCGTACTTTTCGGGTCGACACAATCGTATCGTCAGAAACAAACGGGAGCGGCGTTAGAGGAGACTTTCGAACTGCTTGTACTCTTTTGGCCCTTAGAAAAATCAAGCGTACGAGTGAGCCTGTGTAATGTTTTACTGTTGCCTAATGGCCAATGTAGTTGAGCCTGTTGGTCGTTGCTGTGTGTCGTCAAGTAAATACTCAATGTATACACCGGTCTCTAAATGACGTCAATCGTACAAATGACATGCTATGCACCATCACAGATGTTGGCTTAGTGCAATGACGAGATCATGCGGGACAGTTTTGCACGTTTATCGAAGTGTCGCTGCGTGAGAGACTTCAGTAGTGCCTTCCAATGCGATGTCTGCTTAATAAGGTACTATGATGAAATAAAAAAAAATTTATCCGATTTCTCTAAGTTCAAGCAAACCTGAACATACTACATCGTGCCGAAATAACCTGTCGATAATACACGTAATACGTGTTTCCGTCTTTCTTTGATGCGTTTATTAGCCATCGTTGTTTTGACGACTGCTACTGTATCTACTTGGGCAAATTTTACGTTTGACAGAAAACTCGCATGGCCACGCAACGACAATGACTGGAAAGAAGTTCTGCCATCGATGGCTTAATAATTTTCTGGTACGCTAGATGTACGAACGTATGCCGTTCACCAAGGCATGCTGAGCATAGACTGTCGACGAGTTTTCCCATTACAAGGATTCTAGACCTCATGACAGGCTTTACCTTGCATTTCACCTGTTATTGATGTGACACACTTGGTGGAACCCGAATTAGATTTATATCTAAAACCTGCTTAGATATAAGAGTTACTGGTGTAGTGAAGGTGCCCTTCAATGTTTCTCATAAAACGCACACCGTACAATGATTGCTATTATAAACAAAATACGTTGATTAAAAATGTACGCCGAAATATAATAGGCTTTGTTTGGCTAACTTGTGGGATCTGACGGATTAAGACCTAACTTTTAACATTGGCAAAGATTACGGGATTCGACGCAGAAAATCTAGAGTCCATTAGATGCACTGAAACAAAAGCAAGGAAAGATGTAGCTGTAGTGTTATTATTTTCGTGGTGGGGTGGTACGAAATATCGATTTCAAATAAATTATGCAAAAATAGACTGCGCTGACGTTCTCATAAATCAAACTAACGGTAAACTAGAAATTTCTAGATTAAAAATTCTGTTGCTTTATAAGCTAAATGCTAATACCTCCTCGAAATACGCTTATGGGTGGAAAGGTGGATTTCTTTACCAAATAACTTCATATTTCGCAAATTATATGAAAACCCCTAACGAGAATAACGTTAGAACGGAACACGGCTTCATTCTAGCTCACCTAGTCGCCTGTTACTTAGCAAATGAACCTGAAGCCGGTCAGAACGCCGGGTCTCTTCGTGTCAGATACCTATAGTGTCTAGCTGCTTAAAGGTCACGCTGATGAGTAAAGCGCACTACGCCACTCCCTCACGGGCTGTAGAATTGGCCACTTATACTAGGCCAAAATCAACCGTACGCGTCGCTTCAAGCGTGCGGTAATCCTGCATGTTTCTTAATATATTTCTGGAACGGACAACGCTGAAGTCTCGGCGTTTGTGCCTACCAGCATTTTCCATTTGTAGGAACGAATTGTTGTCGCCTGTGAAAATCTCGAGTAGAGATAATGTACATAGAGAGCTCGGACACCAATGCCAGTACTCGTAGGTTAATGAGTAATCATTGTTGTTTGAATTCTGAGTTGGCCGCAAAGTATAGTCATAGATTTTGCGCTTTACACTTACGTAAATGAATTGAAGCAATATTTAATAAGTGAACGGCAGCAATGCAGATAAAGAGGGAGACCAATTCTTTTAAATTCAACTTAACTAGTTTATCTTATGAAGTTATTTCCATTCAGGTTTGATAGGCTTGCTTTAATCGCGAGTAAGTTTGTCGAATTGTTTAGACAAACAATTATGCGGTGCTTTTCACATATAAGAGGAATCGTGATCGGTCGATGCGTGCCATATTTTGGAGAGGACTGCAGCCTGCTCTGCGTCCTACATTAGAACGAGAGTTGGCCTTCTTTTTTTCATATGTACTGTCGCATTTAATTCGCAATAGTCGTAAGCGGCAAGGTTACAGTTACGCCATCTTCATATAAAATCGATTTTTGCTAAATGTCCGATTGGAAAAGGCTCGAACATTTACTTCAACGAAATACGTCAACGACAGCCAAGCTGAATAATACATACTCGACACCTCTAACTAACGCTGAATTACCATTGACACAGACGTACAAATAAGCGAGAACAGCCGTATTTACTTAGGCGCCATTTTCTATTCATAAGGGAAGAACAAGCAAATCATTCGAGACCATATAGATCATTGTTGCAACTACCCCAATTCGATGTTCAAGATTGTCGTTGAATGTTGTTACCATCTACTAAATGTGCCGATGATAGAGACCTTGCCTGCAATATGCTGAGCATCAGCTTCACTCAAGGATGTTGCTGAAGTTTTTCAAGACTTTTATGCCGTATGCATGAAGAGTTAGCAAATTGTATGCCGGTTGTAAGTTTTATAATCGACTGCTTTTCTGGACGTTGAATTAAGGAAACTAAACTTCTGTGAACTATGAGCTATCCAAGCGAAGTTGAACTTGTGTGAGGCAGTTATGATCAGAGCAGTTCTTTTAAATCACTGCATGGGTAAACCGTAGTTAAACGTCAGATCTGTCATACGCAAATATGAACTCGGTTCGATTGATCTGGCAAATATGAACGGACTTCCGCTGAACTTTTTTAATGATTGTTTTTATTATGCGCTAAATAAATATTTTTCGTATATAGTTGTTTTTTTCTTTCTAATATGATTCGTATCTGTTGTTCTTGAAACATGCCAAAAAAAAATAATTTTTATGGCACTCGAAACAATTTCGCTACCTATTTGATACTGTCTGTATGCTCGCATGCCCCAGAGCGGTTAGTTAAATTTAGGGAAATCAGAAACGTAACGCAAATATACTCTGGACGGAACTGATGAAAATGGAACATATTCCATCTTATGTAATTAATCTTCTTTTTAACTTTTTATAGCCAGGAAAATTACTTTGATGGGCAAGGTTAATCTTCTGAAACAGCAATCGATTTCGTTTGAGGTTAGCTAATAGGCTAAGCAGCATAAAGCTCTACGAAACTGGATAGCTACCTATAATTTTAAAGGGATCATTTATTTTAAAAACCCAGTTAAGTTCGAAGACTAACAGCAGGGAGGGCTCATCTTCTATTACTCAGAGAAACAAGTAAACAAGCGCAGCTAACACCCACTGATATGACATATTTTCTTCGAGCAGCTTACCCCTCGAAAAATATTCGTTTCTTTTTACGGCCTGCGGTTTTTCAGCGACAATCCAGTTCAAGTGTACAGGAACAAGCTCACCGTGGATCGTGCAGTCTTCGTAGACGAGAACAAGTTTAGGCAATAGTTAGTGAGTCGCAGCGATAAGTATACCGATGTGACACATTACACGCGGGAAGCCTTGTATGTCCGGGTCCACACTGCAAGGACCTACTAAGGTAAATTAAGGCCATCGTTTTCATGCAATAGACTAGCGTTAAGAACCTGACCAAGCTTCCTTCTAAGCGACACCTCATACAGCTATCGAAATTAGGGTGTACAGAGATGACAGTGAACATATGTAGGTGGTATGGCCGTATGCTCGCAAGAGATTGTTCAGTTGACTAGCTAAATACTAGACACGGTGCCTAAACTCCGTAAACGTTCTTTACCTATAAACTTATGGCTGAAAGTATATATATCTAACAAAACTAAAGCCTCACTCATGTTTCACTCGGAGATTATCACCGATGCTAAATCAGCGAAGTCTATTGATGTAACACAAATTATCATCGCGCCTTTCTTGCAGCCTTCGTTTATCTAGTCCTGACTGAAGTACTATTATTCGAGAAACTGAGCTCATTGAAAAAAAAGTCTGGGACAACAAGATATTAGTAACCAAATATATTCATCAGGCCCAATCTTTAAAATAAGTTACCGAAGATCAATAACAAGTCACCTGTAAACCCGTTTCAGTGTAAAATCGTGTGCGATTTAAAACAACATCAGTTAATCGTTCCTAACGAGTTTAGCAGGTCAGGTCATCTTAACGTACGGCTATTCAACGTGCAGTATCTTCTGCCTTTATGCTTCTGCTGCCCCGCGTCCAAAAACGAATTCATCATATTTGGTTAAATTCATATTTTATTCTACCTATTCATGTATTACAGTTTCCCTTAATGATGGCAATAGACGATGATAGATACTTAATTCATCACGAAGATATAAGATTCTTCGCTTGTGTACTATGAGCTAGCTCGAAGCAGAAAAGATCGGCTTAGGGATGGACCTATAATTGTTGCTATCGCTAGCCCTGTTGTCGTTATCGTATGCTGTTGTAGTTGCATCTGTGTACAACCTTGATTCATCATCTTGTTTTAGCCATAGGGCAACAGCTGGTATCGCTGAAGGCGGCACACAGCTTCAGCTGCGGTGACAACAGCATTGAGATAAATCTTCTGGCCTGGGCGATCTTTTAATCATAAGCGGACCCGCCTAAATCAACTAGGCTAAACTGACTGTTCTTTCAGCTTGTCAACTGACCCACCGACTAGAACAGTAAATCGGATACGATGCCGATAGAAAGAAGACCATGGTCCTTGCACTACGTTTCAAAGCACTTGAATTAATCATTTATTAAAACAGTGCCAACTAATCACCGAGGGAAAGGATAACACAAACGTGCTCGTTCTAAGCATCGCGGTACAGATCATCTATTATTATCATTATTATAACCTGTACTCTAAGCGAGTGTGATTTTCTCAAAAAGAAAACGTCCCTGAGAAACAAAACAGTAGTCTCGAATATCTGATACAAGGTCTGTTCTCTGTGGCCCCCAATATGACCCATTTCTATTCTTAAACCAGCATTGACCCAAGCTCTTTTTTTCCAATTTCGTTTTTGCAGAAACTCGCCGTCGTCGAACTCACCTATCGTGGCCGAAGCCCACGCCGGCTAGCTTCGATACGGTTTTGCTGCCCGCGCCGACGACGCTACGCTAGTTACGGTCTCGAATACGTATAGCGCGACTGCCACTGTCCCCGCCTACGGATTGGATTCTGTTGCTACCGTCGTCGCTTCGTCCTATTCTACCGCGGCCAAGCGTCGCCGCTCCCGTTGTTGCTAAGGCCGCTGTTGCATACGGGCTTACGGGCATCGACATGGAATTGCTGTTGCTGCCCCCGCTTACGGTCTTGAATACGGCCACGGACCCGGAATACGGAAGGCGATCTGCTAAATACCCTGAACTAATCGGTAATATAAGGGATGGTGAATTAATTATGTAATAAATCATCAACTTTTGGATTTGTTGTTTGCAGTGGATTTGATTCATAGTGTACTTCGATTAGAGGCGGGCTTGACCTGTTTCGCTACTGTGACTTTTATTGCCTATCTAGTTTCGTAAATATAACATTTTTTAACCTAATGCTTTAGTTAACCTTCATGCTCACTGCATTTGTATACATCTGAATTGCCAATGTTTCTATTGCAAGCAGTAAGTTGTATTAAATCTATGAATGCATGCAATAGCAAAAGTAGCTAACATTTAGAAAAATATATAGTTTTTTTTCTTTAAAAGTTTATGCTACCAACGATACCTCTATGTGAACCATACATATACGTATTTTTCTATATAACAATTTTGATACTGTAAGTACTTGATACTAAGTAGCTGATTTTAGTATGCCACATTATATCAGCCCGTTGTCCGGAAACAGAATAGCTGCTAATGGTACAGGAAACCTCTGCACCCTACATCACAAAGGGCCCTCTCTTGATATACTAGTGCGCTTATAAAGGCATATAACGAATCATGATAATTTTATTCCAATATAATGTTTCATGACTATGACTGTCCCTTACGTACAACTACCTAAAAACAGGTGTGAATCAATGATTTTAAGGTTATTTCAACTTGCATGTACTCTACAAAAATAGAATGTAACGCTTTCTTTTTCGGGGTATCCACACACACCTATCTACATTGAGCAGTTCTCTATATATATACGGGCCACAAAGTTGAATCTTATGTGCACGCCCAGCTTTTTGTAAGGAATACAAGGATAGCCATGAAGGATCAGATCAGGAATCGCAGAAGTAACAAAATTATTTTCCTTTTAACCTCGTCCGGACCTGAAGTAGGTTCGTTGTCAAGAGGCGTGTGCCTTAGCTCACGAATTCCCGCTTCTCTCTTTGAATAGATGTCTTCATTGCGACTGAATCCGAAAATCCCAATGCTTAGTCATTTACCCCCCCCCCCCCCACATACCCACTCCTTCGGAGGTCCGAAAAGCTTTCAACTGACAACAGCAATCGCATGCTACCTGAATCATATAAGAGTAGCAGGCCACCTGAGCTGGGGCATGAAGCCATAAGCAGGTACCGGCTAGCAAATGGTGTTTGGGTGTTGAAAACGATCAGGAAGTCGTTATACGCTTCAGATTGGTTAGACCATACGTTACTTCCAAAGCTTTCCAACCTTAAAAGGCTATTATACGGATCATATATAACCAACAAGAGAAACTAAGCAAGAAGGCGAAACACGTGGAGGTAATAGCCGACGGATAGTAATCAGTATGAAAATGATCTACCCGTGTTTTGAGATGTCGTGCCTACTACTAACCTACCGCGTCAAACGTTACTGCGCGGTAAAACTTTGTTGATTTTTAATAGAAAGCGTCTGAAATCGGCCGCTTGTGTCGTCCGGTCGCACGATGCTGCCGACAGAGCAGCAAACTTTCCCCTACAGTTAGTCTGTCATTGAATCCGATTTCTGGTTTTGTCTACCATTCACCCCGTTATCTATCTGCCGTCTATACCTATTTAAACGCAACGTTTTTCAAAATTATCCGAAACAGAAAATTGCCTTCGTAGGTTGACGATGCCTATTGACCTTGGCTTCCGTCGGTTGTATCCACTATTCATATACGACTTTAAAGGGATCCAACTAGGGTCATCGTTTCGGTGTGGTATATTTGGACATAAAAGAATAAATAACTGCCTTACATGTGAAGCCAAACGACCGTACACCGTCGTCAATTCAGGCAGATATATGGCCTCAGCGATGACATTAGGTAGCTTGTATTCCAATAGCCTTATATGTATATATGATCTATCTTGCCCAAAAAAAAAAAAACAATCATATGCTAGGTGCGCATGAAGCCCCAGTTTCGTAACCATAGCGGGTTCAACTGAACGCCCCTAACGATATTTTTTGTCAAAGAATTTAGTGACTAAGTAACATGATTTCTTATAGTTATGAGACGTTCGTTGTTAGTGACTTTCCAGCTTCTACGGTTAGTTAACTGCGAGCACATGCACAGCAACGCTATTCTAATCAAACTATTGGCGTCCCTGTGAGAACGCTATCCTTACCCGATAGATTCTTAGTCCATCAGCACGCATACATAAATGTATAGGTACATTGTGCTCAAATACATTTACTTGCACCAGACGTTTTCCTAATCGAAAGTTAGCTTTGAAAATAAGAGCGCTTCTAAGAAACTTTCCGTCACAGATACATGTCCAGTCACGATTTGCGTTACGTATTGGTTGCAGCTTCAAATTTGATGAAGTGTAAACGTTTCAGCCATTGCTTCTAATCTATTTCTATCCGTTTGTAATACAGCTGAGAAGGAGCCCCGGCGATTTACGAAAACGCCAACATCAGTTGACTAGAGTCTCAACGAATGTTGGCTTTCGAACACCCCTTTGGCCACTCTGAGTTTTAATTCTGCTGGTATGGCCATAGTTAGCTCTACTTCAATTGGCTGACATCCTCGATAGTGGAACAAAGTGTATCGATGCCTAATCTCGAAGCACTATCATCATCATCATCATCATGTGTGCCCAGGTTTAATGGGTTAACACATTTCCAACGTAGCATCATTGCAAACCCCGTCGCGGACGGTACGTGTGGCAAACGTTCTCTTTTAGAATGATTAATAGGGTTTTTGTTATACTTACTTTAAGTGCTGACTTACCATTATCTAATCTGGACAATTATCTGGTTACAAATCCAAACGGCCTGCGCGCTTAGAAAAAGCTGAATATGCTCAATAAAAAAACAGCCTATAATTGTGTCGTAATTTGATAGATGAACTAAGTTTTGTTACAGGCATTTCGTTAAACAACGCGAGAGAAATTACAATAGCCATATATCTATCATTACCGATTCGTCTTAAATGTCTGAATGCTATTGTCAATCAAAAGCTTTACTTTGACATAATTGCGTTAAGTCGTATCGTCTAAGTACCTTGACTTCGGTTCAGAACAGCAGATTTGACCCTGTTCACTTTGGCTCGAGATATAACCAAACAACGTCGTTTTAGTAACTTACCCCATTGTCATATCGGCAGTACGGGACGCACGAGAGTGTTGCCCGTATTTTCCAACGCCAAATGAAACATGGCTGCCTCGGCCTCGAACGTAGATCAGGTCATAACTTACAAAGTTTGGTAAGCAGATACGTTAACATTACGGGATAGCTGGGACAATTTGCCTTCTTCTTTACCAAGATACTTTTAAACGAAAAATGGTTGATGAAGACGGTGCGAATTGCTCGCTCACGTTTAAGCCCTTTAGTTAAAATCGTACACGTCCATATTTCTTTCGTATTCGTGACTGTACCTAGCCTACCTGTAAACATGAAGTTCTTGTAGTTAAAAATATACGCAAATAGATTGAAGTATATTAATTTAGCATAACTGTTAAGACGAATCCATTTTACGAATTAGGGAAAATGTCCAGACACGTTTCGGTACATGATTCAATATATCACTTCTGCGGCCTACGCTGAGAATATCTGAGCACGCAAGGTAGGCCAAGAGAGGTCGAGTCTGCTAACTTATGATCCGAATACTAGCTCAGACGTGTTTTGTCAATTCGTACCTAAAACTATTATCGAAATTTAGCAACTTTATGCGACACAACAAACAAATGATCATTTTCGCAAATATAGAACCTCAATCATTTTGCACGATAAAAATTCAAGCGGAGTTCGACGTTCTCCTTGTCCTTGACGTTATTATGCATCTCTGTGAAGAAGTGTTGTACTGCGAACACTGTTAATCGCACCTTCTACTCAAGGCAGTCTAAGATGTGGCCGTTGGTAGCGATTTGTCGGCGAAAAACCCCCAGCTCTTTCCATTCCCTATTTTCACTTTCCGTTAAAAATTTTCTTAGGCAACCATTTTCGACTTTCAACCAGAAACTAACAGAAGGTTATGTTAGCACCGTTTAAAACTCATCAGGCGAGGGTAATGCAGCCGGACAAGGCTTATAAAAGCTTCCACCTGTGAGTGACAAATCACAAAAGGTCTAACCACAGAGAAGCGGACTTACCTGTTAGCTGTTCATCATGCTCGTCGTGAGTATCGCCAAATATTTTTGATGTGAAGCCCCTACTATCGCATCGAAGCGAGCAAAGGCCTTTGTTGTTACTGTTCGATTACCAACAAAGTTGTCGACAACCTATTTCCTTACTTTAGCCTACCGCTTCTGTCCTCTAAATCTTCACGTACTCATGTATGCAGATAGATACGCACGATTTCTTATAATAATAGTTTATTATTTAGCTTGTACTTCGGTTTGCCTGTTATAGACTTCGAATTTTAGAAGCGCTTTAGTCTGAGGCTTTTGGACCACTAATTCGTGTCTTAAGCAATGTCGTACAAAACAGGGTAGATCAATCGTCGCTTAATCGAACTAGACAATAATAATACATTTTTCGTTTCAAGTTCGCCTTCATTGCCGTGCTGGCAGCTGGAGCTTATGCTGGAGCTCTCGACAGTTACGGCCTCACTCCCTCTGCCTATGGCCACGGGTACAGCGCTGTTCCCGCCTACGGACATCGATACGGCGTTGCTGTAGCTGCCCCAGCCTATGGCCACGCCCCTGCCTACGGGGCGGCGTACACTGCGCCCGTGGCAAAGATCGCTGCCCCTGTAGTGGCGTCTTCATACACCACCGTGACGAAGTCGGTTGGCGCTCCCATTCCTGTCGCTAAGGTTGCCGCTCCCGTAGCCGTCGCGGCGCCTGCTTACGGCCATGCATACGCAGCTCCGGCGTATGGACATGATTATGGGTACGGGGCGGTTTATTCTGCCCCCGCCGGATACGGCAAACTATATTAGGCAGAAACCCCAGGGATGATAACGATGATCTAAAGATGGCATTGTAAGTTAGCGCTGACAATAAATGGCAATGAACGTTCAATTTAGTGTTATCCTGTGTTGTGTGAATATTAACTGTGCGCGCAAGTGCAATTCTCAGTCTTTACAGTATAGCCGTCTGTGGGGCATACCAAAACATCAGGTTTTTGTTTTTTTTTTTTTATTATTCGCATTTTAAATGGATTTCTCTTAAGGGTACGATCGCTAGGTGCATTCTTCTTTTCGGCGGGCAGAGTAGCCGCTGCGTCCGAGTTATTGCCTAAGAAGGCCACCTATTTTTAGTCACATAAAGCATATCTATGCCAAAATCGTATGCAGATGGCTTCGGTATTCAGTTGAAGTTATCGCTCAGCGCACGATTCCGGTCGCTCATTCAGCAAGCGATTTACCCGAACTTCGCAACTTATTCGCATCAGCAGGAACAATCCGTCTTTTGCCAATGTCGGCATGCCTTATGTTATCGTTCATTATCGAAAATTTGTTGCTTTTCTTCCATTGTCTCATGCCCGTACATTGTCTTAGATGAACCCCTGCTTCTGAGCTAACCCCAAATGACTTTTTCGTTTAGTCCGGAGTGTACGCTTACTGCTAATCTAGCTATTATAAATGCTCAATCTATAGGATCGACGCGATCTCACACGAAAGACACCGCTCTTTTTTATAGATCATTCGCAGGAGAGAAGCGGTCGTTAGTTTCCTGTGATTGTTCGTGGGGTCGCCGGTGCTAATATACAGTAAGATTTTCAACAAAAATAAGCATATGATCGTGCTGATCGAAGTGCGGCAATCTTCAACAATTACATGTACAAGGCCCTTCCAGAAGTTGTAGATGGTGATCGGACTTCTTTCACGTCGGAATCTCTACATTGGCCGCGTATATCTGTTGAAGATGAACATTTACCAATGGGAAAAAAAAAAAAGCCTGGAAAGTTCAAATTTTCAGTTTTATTTTTACCTGGACGGGAAAACGACGACTGGCAGTTAGCTTTTGCCGAAACGCAAGGGAAACCGTTGTAAGTGTTACAAAGAGAGCCCTAACCCTTTCCAAAGCATATCTTCTAACTGTGAATTTTTCAATTTAAATTAACAAAGATAATTAAAATTTTTGATATGTAGATAATATTGGGTTCTAATTTTCGTAGTAGTTCAAACGTTATAGATCGACGCTAGTAAAGCCTATCGAAGTCGTAATCAAGTAAATTGTAAGATTAACCTAAAAGCACTAAATGTAGGAGCATTATTTAGAAACTGCCAACATAAATTTGTCAGATACGTTATTCTGAAGTAGACAGGTTAGCGATTGGATTTACGAAAAAGATCGTTGGGATGGTACGAAAACGGTCAGGAGATTGACTTTAATTACCGACTAGTTGTTGTTGGATAGCTCAGCAATAACCATTGACTGAGTTAGCTAACTTCAAACAGATTCGCAATTGTAGTAACTTTTCTTTATAGCTGACACTCAATTGAACTTTTTACGAAAAGCCGCCAAATTTTTGTTTAGCATTACTTCGAAAATAATTATTAAGAGAATCAAAAGCAAGCTGAAGCTGCCGTTCAACTGAAAATCAGAAACAATCTCTAAGGGAGAAAATTGAAGACAGCATTCGAAGAGAAGGAAATATTCAAAAAAAAAAAAACTAGATTAAGCGATTGCTTTTGACGGGACCGAAGGGCGCACCAAGACCACTCACAGAACCGCAGCTGATAGGCCTAGCATGGGTTGATAAGCCATTCGTCGACACTAATATAATTATATCAGATTGTGATCTGGTTAGCCAACCCCAATGCGAGTGCTAGACACAACGAAGTGACTGAAAGCTAAGTTGGTAAATCACTGCAGAAAGTAACTAGCAACATAGTGATGAAGTGCTATTCGTCTTAGAAGTTCGTGACAATGAACAGATTTTTGTAAGTTCGATGATGCCGTCACCTATTAGCCCCGACGGCTAGCGTCAAGTGAAACGATCTTCACTTCGAACCTGAATCTTACCTCGTGTATGTCCGAGTTCTAGCACTGCGCTATCACGAAAAAGTACGCTAATAGAAATTTTCGAGGACCCGATTAATGATGGCCTAAATATGTTAACTATTTACGAGGTTAATTAATTCATTTAATGAACCATTATTGTAGTAGAGATAGTGACCACTTATTTTTAGAAGAAAGGTGAGTTCAGTATGACAACAAAAGATCATCTTAATCATATAGCAGTTATTGTGTAGCTCACATGAGAGAAAGTAGTTTGGTCAGCAAAGAAGATGGTTTATTGTTAGGCAATAGCCGAAGGTTGAACTTCTTATTGATCTGCCCAACCGCGAGCGCTAAATGAGACGCTCGGCCTCTCGTCGATTCGGCTAAAGGATCCCGTATTGGCAAGAGTGTTTACTAATTGTTAGATAACCCGACACTGCTCCGATATCGAGTTAGTTCTAACAGATGATTCCAAATTGAAAACTCCAGTGGAAGTCTTCGTCCTGCCAGATGTTCCACTTCAACATGTCGCCGTCTATTTTTAAACTTCGGGAGCATAGAAATATTAAAATTAATAAGCCGCCTAAGCCAATACCAGTTGAAATAGGCTTCTCTTATAAAATATAAAGTTACCTCCTGTACTATATATATATATATATATATATATATATATAAAACGCGAAGAATAGTCTCTCTTTTACTATAATATAACACATTTTATTTATTAATACCGAGTCCACGAAGCCTGGCGGTGAAGGCAATGTTTAGTCACCTGTGAAATGGCATGAAGGTATAGTATCAAAATCATGCATTGTATTCCTAGGAAAAAAAACTTAAACTCACAACAACAACAACTTGTAAATGAACAATACAATCTTTAATAGTAAATCTTTAAATTTTTTTGTTTATTCAATTTGTTAGATATCGCTTAATAAAGCACAGATCTGCAACGATGTGTAACGGACGTATTTTAATAGCTACGTCATGATAGACTTGGGTTGGTTAGATTAGCTCACATCTGTTTATATCAATTGGCGACTCGCAAACAATTATCTATCTATCTATTCTATTTACGCGTCACGGATTACCAGAAGGTCAATAAAGATACACGTACACGTCAAAAGGAATCAGTACGTTTTGTTAAGAGACCTTAGTTTAGGTGCATCGTGAACGCTGGAAATCCTTGTCAATTCGGCGCGGTGTCGTACGCCCTGCCCTGGTCGTTCATGAAATAGTTAAGGGAACACTATTTTCTATTCAGTGGATGCGTATACATTTTAGTTAGTGGTTTTCGATCGGCTGATTGTTAGAAATATATTTTATGCTAATTCGGTGTAATGGCTACGTTAGAAATTGAATAAAGAAAACAACTGCCATAGATATAAGTGAAATAAATTTTTTTTTTTAACTACAGTAATCTATCTTTGTCACATCGAAACCGTAATCGCTGATGCAGCAGCGACAATTGTAGCTAGCACAAGTACGGCAGGAATAATCAATAGATATAATAACGTTTAACAATCTATTGCACTCTTCCCGACTGTGACCTTTTCTATATATATTATATATTATAATATATATATATATATATACACAGTCGTTATGTCATGCGCTTTGCAAATGAGTCCATTTCCTGGTCGTAACAAGCCAGGTTTAGCTTATAAACAAACCGTGATAATTGCTTAGAAAACCATGCTTGTTCATATTAGCCTGATTCTGGCTTTATTATGCCTGTAGGCAAGTAATGAATTACTATCGTTTCTTACCATAAGCGGGGTATAAAAGTTGGTGCACATACAGAAATGGTTATAGTTCGTTCTCTCAAACAGGCAACAACAACACCCAACATAAACATGTTGGCTGTAAGTGTTAGATATATATGTAGATGCTTACGCATTTTCTATAGAACTCAGTTAGCTGTTTCCTTGGCTACGGCTTAAATGGTTAATAAAATTTTCATATTATCCTCTGTCTTCCCTACAGGCTGCCATTCTCGCTTTGGTTATTGCCGGGTCCCAGGCCACCGTCCTCGGAGGCTATAGTCCCTGTCACGGATGCGGTGGCGCTGCCATCGCTGCCCCCACCTATGGTCACGCTATTGCTGCCCCCGTAGTTGCTAAGGCTGTTGCCCCTGTCTCTGTTGCTCACTCGCGTACCTATGTGACCAAGCAGATCGCTGCCCCTGTTGTTGCCAAAGCTGCGATTGCCGCCCCCGTCGCTGTCGCCGCCCCGGTGTCAATCGGCCACGGATACGGCATTGGATATGGCCATGGCGCTGCGATCGCTGCCGCCCCTATCGCTTACAGCCATCACGGGTACTAAAGGATGACTCGCTGTTATACTGTATAAAAGATGCTTTACTCGCCTAGATAAATAAACGACACAAAGTGATATATGTAGTTACCATTGTTTTTATATCCAGCTGATTTACTCAACCTGATGTGCAAACGCGGACTTATCTGTTCCGTGTTTTGACAACTGACGATGCTGATCCTTGTGATAAAATCAAAATTTCTGTGCCGGTCCAAATGGTTTTTGGGTGATCCGAGTAAACACTAACAGGCTGAATTTGTATTCTCTTGCGTTGGTGTTATAAATTTGGTAGTAATAATCGACAAACGGCAATAATACCCACATACACATGTTAATTGTTAATATAGTTTACTGAGGTGAGCACATAAAATCAATAACGCCTTGCTGTAAGAAGGAATTTTATCCGCGTATTGAACGAACATGTTCAGCTGGAAATGGAAATTATAGAGATCTATCCCTTTTTTGTTTAGATATTCAGTTTAAATTAGAATTTCACATATGCTAAAATCGTTGCAAAAGATTGTGTTATCTAGCTCTAAGCACCTTACGTGCGCTTTTCTAATTGTTGTTATGGCCAGTATTAGTAATTAGGTTCAAAATATCACTCGACAGTGTACTTAGCGCTGCGCGATCCTTAAGAGCCCAATTTTCTTGGTGCTCAACGAGACATCTCTTCGTATTATTTACATGTATATAACCACATGCTTTATAGACCTTGTCTTACCTTCTATGTACCTTATCTTATTCTGTAACAAATTTATAGTATAACGAAACGTCACTGATCTTTTGCCGTACAATCGAAGAGTACGTGGACTCGCAACAACTCGAAGTTACCCTTAAAATTAAATATGTTATACAATTGTTCTAACTTATTTGAAACCTGGACAGCGTAAGCTCACTGTTTCCCAACTGGGTTCCAGGACAATTTGTTGTGGACCAAATTTTCCTATTCTAATCCTATTTAATCTAAAATGGAAAGAAAATTTGGCAAAACCAATGAGCATACACGTAATTAATATCGAAAAAGTTATTTTTATTTTACGAACGAATAACTATGAAAATTGTCCAAATCGCTTTATGCTGGCCAGTAACTAGTTCTCATACTTTTGCATGAAGAGGTCGATTTCCCCGTCTCACATTATAGTATTTAAATATTAGGGTAAATCGTTTGATTCTGTCTTATCAATAGAAAACAATAGCCGGTCTCCGGGCTATGATTCGGTACCTAGTTTGTTTGGTTCTTGTAAAACCCGTCATAGGAGTGTTCCATAACCCAACAGCTTGATTACCTACGAGCTAATAGCTCGTAGGTAATCAAGCTGACGAAGACACGAAAATCTGTGAAAAATAATGGTAATTTTAATATTGTTAGAACTGCTTTAATCGTAGCTCAGTAAGCCGACTGCTGCTAAGTGTAAATTTAGCACATCAAATGACCCATTATGGACCTTCTAGTTAAATGTACTATGAATGCAACTCGTAAATAATCTAGCTCATAATGTTACCACATGTGAAAGCTAGCACATTTTTAATATCAGCTACAATGTAGCAATATATATGACGCACCTCTCACTGTCGCGTTAGGACACAGGGTCCCTTTTCGTTCGAATAACATCATGTCAAAGATACCTAATCGAATCCGTTTGTTGCTACACACAGATAGTGTTTGTTGTATCTTGCCGTTGCTGTTACTTGAGCTCAGACTATTGTCCTCGAGGACTACGGTTACGGTCACAGATACGTTAGTGGTGCCATCGCTGACCCTGCTTACGATCACGTTATTGGTGTTCCTCTCGTTCCTAAGAATATTGCCCCAATAATACGGAAGTGGTGCTGCAATCGCTCAAAGAATATGTCAGAAGAAAATAAATTCTATGCCTTCAAAATGCCCACAGATGCATTGTTGCCGACCGCCAGGCTTTTTCCCAGACAGCGGCAGTAACTGAACACAGTTCCTTGAACAATAACGTTGCATGTACGATTTGGTAGTTTGGATCTGGCAAACATTCTGCAGACGCACCGTACATAGTACGCCGTCCGACCCAAGTGTTTTCTTAGACGCTAAATAGATAAAAAGCGTTTTTTTTTGTAGAAGCTATAGCAACTAATTATCTCCATTAGAATTGCTACACACATAAGCTCCATAAAGAACAATAATTTTAAAGCAAATGCAGGTAATATATTATCATATACCGATCGGCCTTATGATACAATAATTTTAGAGCAATCGGAACATTGTTGTGCATTATCGCAACGTATCATATATTTATCTCGTCATATATTTTTCAGTATAAATAATTAGTAACAGACTATCTTTGCACGCCATAAACACTAAATATTAAACCTGTAGAGCTTACTATTCAAGAGTCATACGATATGAATTTGATGGCGGTAAAAAAATAATCAAGTTTGACATTCTAGCTAACTTTACTTAAATTGTGTATATTAAATGTAGATTTTTTAGCATGTCTGGCTCGTTTTGCCGCTGTATACAACCCGACACATGACCAGGAAGAATGAGCCCGAAGAAGGAATGAAGAGAAGATTTCCCCAACCAGTAAATATGGCTGAAGTACGCATGCAACATCAAAACCAGTATCTACAATAGTAGATATACAACATTTCCAATGTTTTTCGTTAGTTGTGATATTCTAGAACTAACGTATTATCGCATTTGCTTTTGCCCTAGGTCGATTTCCTCGTCGCCGCTATTGTCGAAGTTCAGGTTATAGTACCATCGCTGGCCCCGCTTATTGTCACGCTATTGCTGTTCCTATTGTTGCTAAGGCTATTGTTCCTGTCTCTGTCGCTTGCGTACGCATTTACGTGACCAAGGAGATCGCTATCCCCATTGCTGCTAAGGCCCCGATCGTCGCCCCAGTAGCTGTTGCCGCTAACCCTGTGGCAATCGGCCATGGCGCTGCTTTCGCTGCCCCTGGCTGTTAACCATGGCCACAGATATAGACATCGCAATAAATGAAGATGCTTTACTGTATACTAGATACACTGTAACGCACTCGTATTATAAGTAACCTTATGGAGTTAATGGGAATATGAAATGATATTTTTCTCTAAACTAATCGGTTGGTTGCGGAAGCTATAAAGATGACTAGGAGTTGCAGAGTAACGGATTACGCCGTCTCTGCCCTATTCAAGTTTGAGGACACTGTTAGACTTTTGAGAAGGCCATAGAGGTTATGCGAACGCACGGTCGGTTAGCCAGAAGGGTTGAAGGAAATCGATGTACTGCCGAACAAACAATCAATCTCCTTATATAACAGCTTAAATTATGTGAAATTAGTAAAAAATAAATGTTAAGAGATAATTAGCTCGTGTGGTAAATGAAAAAGGTTGCATTGTTTAATATAATGAGTTTAGGGTACATAAGAAAACATTTTATGAGATCAGCCAGGCTCGTATGAAATGAGTCATTAGATCCTTGGTGATTGCTTTCATTTTTTTTTAAAATTCTTTTATTGACAATCGAATATTATATACTGTTATTAAGCGTTATTTATTTTCTACATATTAACGTTTCAATTATATTATACAGTCGCATCACAACAACTGACTGTCAGTACGTCGGACTCGAAGGATATATAGGTGAAATAAATAAAGCATTACCTTCTAAGCTTTCTATGCGTCCTTCTTGGATCTGAAAGTCACACTTCACTCGACGAGGGCTGTTTTCAGTAGCCTTTGAAGAAAAATAGTTTCCTACTTAACCCATAACTATAAAGACTATAAATAACTATAAAGACCTTATAGCTAAGGTCTTTATAGTACGTAGGTTTGGCGGATTCTTCACATGAGTAAAAACAAAAAACTGTTCCAAATTTGCTCCCGTTTCGCCCGACTAACCCATCGTTGGAGCCCGAAACTGGGCTTAAACATAATAATCTCAACAAAAATAATTGCGATAGTCTTCTAGAGTAAGTAAATGGCTTTTCGCCGGTATCCCAATTAGTCATCAGTTCACTCAAGAAGTACAGGGACAGCACTAGTGAACAGTTCTGGCCGCTACTTGAATATAAACCTAATACACAGCTGGATGCCATACGTCTCTATGATTCGTATTTTCCGCAGTACGCCATTATGGACCTGGTTTTTATTTCCAAAACACGAATCCTCGCTTCAGAACTCCTTGACTAGACAATTCCAGTCTTGCTTCATAAGTCCAAATCGTATCGTGCTGCTACACTTTTCTCTATGAACAAGCACGCAACATGCGTCGTTTCCATGTGTCCAAATGTCTAACCACCCCTTCCATTATAAAGTGTGGCCTGTTACAGAGGGCAAAACGCGGTCCGCAATATATACATACATCGCCAAATTCATCTCAAAGAAAACTCTAAAAACGTGTTGTAAAACTCGCTCTCAAAAAATACCATGCTTAGAAAAATTCCGGTTTATAATGCAAAGGATTAGCCTTGACAAACGTTTTCTCATGGACTAATATAAATAGTGAAACCTGAATCGTCACAGATCGATTACCGATATCCATAGCTCTGATCGTATCTGACGTGACATTAATAAAGTTGTTTTTAATTATGGCATTGGGTGCGAATTTTTAGTATGAATAGCAAATTCTGTACACGACTCGACAACAGGGGAACTTCCGAAAAACAGGACTTTATTTTGATCTGCATGCCCCCTAACGTGTCAACAGCAGATACTCTACACAGAGGCTAGAAATAATATGAATTTAATTTGATCGTAAACAAATATGCTTAACACAAAGTCATAATTTTGTTCGTATTGGAAATTCATTACATCCATCTATATAGATGGCTAGCATGGCTAACTATGCTTTTCTTGTGGGGTGCAGTGCTAACATATTTTGCCCATTAAGCTTAGACGTATGTGTGGTCATCTAGATTGGAAAAAACAGTAGACACAATTCGTAATAAGCTGAAAAAGACCAGCTGTTTAAAGTAATACACAATTAAGTCAATACCACTTCGATAACAAGAATTCGAAATACTATTTATTCAATCCTTTTTATATCGAAAATCTATCGGTGAAATATTTAGAAATGGGTCCACAAGAAAAACACGACGCTTAAGTTTTCCAGCGATTTACAGTT